TACTTCCTTGATTATCATGTATGGTATCAACAACTTTGACCTATTTTAACAGAGAAGTGTGGTTATACACTGATTCAGTATACATTCAATAACAGTCAACGGAAGCTTGTGTTTTCAAAATCTTTCACTGAAAATATCTCGCCTCCGACACGCACACTCCGTACATCAGTGATTCAATAGTATATGGCTTGTCAACCAAACGGAAGTTTCTGTTCGATTTCCAATGGATGCATTATTAAATCTCACTCAGTCTAATGTTCGTTGGTAGGCTAAGAAAAGATTGAATGCTGGGTATGTGGTTAGAAATCTAACATGGGAAAGCAACATCGCCACTAAAGAAACTTCAGAGCTCCAAGTTCTATTTCATTCATAATTCAGTGGATATAAGAGTAAACGAAAATATTAAAAATAATATTTACAGTGTTAGTGAGTTTGTATTTGATAACCTTCTACCAACTAGTTCAAATCACAACGGAATAAACCTGAAAGATGTCAGTCCCTGCACTTGTTCAGGCACCATTGTTTCAACTACAGGTGATAGCACAGATGAGGATATCAAAACCGAGATCAGAAAGGTAAAAAAGACTTCCATCATACTGAAATCAGTTTGGAAATCTTCTGCACTCACCATGAACAACCGAATTTCCGACTTTCCATACCAATGTTAAGCCACCCAGTTCTTTTATATGAGTCCGAAACTTGGCGCGTGCATCTTGCAAAGCATTTCCAACAAACTGTAGATTTCTATCAACAGCTGTCTTCGCTGGCTCCATGCTGAATATTGGATAGCTCACCAGAAAGAATTGGCAATAATAGACTCTGGGAATGAACCAATCAAGAAACTGTTGGTTAACAAACATCCCAAAGAAAATGGAGATGGGCTGGACATACAATGTGGAGATCGTTGGGTGACATCGCACGCCACGCCACTGACCGATTGAAATGGTGAGTGGGAAATGACGAATTGAGCTTTCAGAGGTGAAATATAGGAGTCCGTGTCAGGAGGAGGTGAGAAACTATGGACAGTCATATGGCCAACTAAAGAGGGCCGCAGAGAGAAGAACAAAATATAGATGTTCTGTTGAATCCATATGTTCCACTGGGAAACCAAGGGAACAATTACATAATAATATAAATAGATTTTTATGTCAAAGAATCATGTTTAAGCAAACATAGTCGGCTGATAACTAGGCAGTAATATCCACAATCTGTCAGCTTTGAACAAAAATGGCTACATACATCGTACTGTCTATTCCATAGGATGATAATTTCAGTACATAATGTTTACAAATAAAATGATAATATTCTGGTTAGAAACTCGGTCCTTTTATTTCCTCAGAATGTCATCTTTTTATAAAGATCCGTTAGCAATCTGATTCATGAGTTGCTGAAATATTCTATAGAGTAGTAAATATTTTCCTACAATAAAAACTGAAGGCATTTTTACTACATTTTCACACCATTGCACTTTCAACAATGACTCATTTGTGATCAGTAGACAAAAACAATTGTAAAATACCATTCAGCTTTTGTCTGTATTCAATGATTTTTCTTCTTTTTTTGGGGGGGGGGAATTAGAAAATAACAAATGAAAAACAAGAATAGACTTCAATCATTATCTGCTGTTTTACTGACTACTATTCAGTTACTTGACCTTGAAACAAATTTACTATTTCGCATGCAAGTGTTCAGTATTAATCACAAGCTGAGGATTAGGGGAATTATTTATCACCCTCACAAACATTTTCAAAATGATAAATGATCATTAGGTGTCGCTTTCTCTGTTGGTTATATATCCCTGAATGTTCTTTGTTTAATATTATTTTGAGTTTCGCTCCCTTTTTTGTTCGTTTTCAATGGTAACATTGAACTTAAATATATATTCTTAGTTATGCACTCGTGCGGTTTTGTTTGAAACTATAAGATAGTGATTAACTGAGTGTATAAAAGTTTGGAATTATCTAACATGCCTACTGTTGTTGATGCTGTTGATGCTTAAGAACGCGATTGCAATCATACTATTTGTTTTCTTCATACATTTATTCCCCTTAATGAATTTGAATAATCGGCAGTGTGCACCCACTCGGGTTCTATCCCAGGACCTTCCGGTCACAAGCAAGCAAGCTCGTATACCATTCAACCACTGGGACACGATTCAGTGGCCACCTCATGAATTCTAACTTCAACCAATTCGTGATTTAGCGCGACCCCAACAGATGTCGTCAGTGGGACATCCATCCTCACACGTGACGTCTGGATGGACCTCACTGGTCTCGACTTCTCATAAGAACTCCAGGAAACTCCATCCCGTAGCAAGTCACTAGCGAGCATCAGATTAATTTTCTTTAGTTGGTTTGTTTTTACGAGTTGATCATGGATTGATATCGAACCCTAGTGGGTGCGTACTGCTGATGATAACCAAACTAGGATGAAACAGCTGTCCAGTACTCCCTGGTTTTCAGTGGTTCTCTCTCACGAAAGTACTGAGAGATCTTCTAAAGAAGAAATTGATCGATAGTAATACTTATAATGATTTAAAACCCCGAGGATCCCGTTTGACGCACATGTATGGCCTTCCAAAGACACACCAAAAACAAGTCTCACTGAGACCTACACCTTCGATGATAAACTCGCCTCAACATAAGGCTGCTCGTTGGCTTGCGGAGATGTTGAAATCCATTCTTCAACGGCTAACCGTGTACACCATGAAAGACTCATTTTATTTCACCGAAAGTGTGAACCACATGAACGTTTCAAATAAGTTCATGGTGTCATTTTATTCAAACTCCTTGTTCCTAAGGATCCTAATCAATGAAACTATCGAGGTCATTTGTCAACAGTCTGTTCTTCTCCCACTCCGAGAGTATGAAATCAAAAGCCTACTGCTAATGTGTACCATGAATGTGCCATTCCAGTTTGACAACACTCTTTACCGCTAAACAGATGGTGTAGCTATGATCAGTCCACTTAGCCCTGTTTTAGCAGATGTCTTTATGTCCAATCTTGAAAGAAAAATGTTGAAGCATGCAATTGACGAAATAACTTCCTGTTGTCGATATGTCGATAACATATTTGTAGTGTGCAACAATGAAAGTCATGCTTCCTACCTATTCAGATTATTCAATGACGCATATACCAATACTTAATTTACTGTCGAACATGAAAATGATGGAAAGCTCCATTTCCTTGGCATTTCCACGCAACGCCTAGAAGATGGTAGTCTCCAAAGGTCAATCTACTGAAAGCCTACATGGAAAGGAAAACACCTGCATTTTAATACTTTTATCCAAAAAGCTTAAAACTAGAGCTGGTCAGGACTCTGCACTGTAAAGCTAGGAGAATATGCTCTGTAGAGAAATAGGAGGAATACTTTATAATTCTCGAAAAGATGTTGAAAAATAACAGTTACCCTCAGAGATTCATTAACTAATATGGAAGATGTGAAGGCTCAAACATCAAATAAATCCCAGTGGGAAAAATGCCTGTCTTTGGTTAACTCGATTTTAAAGGTGGGAATATTGCAGCAGTAGTCAACAGAAGATTGACTACGTCAATAGCCAGAGCCTATCCTGCAGCTAAGTTGGTTTCCGTCCATCAGACAACATGCTTTTTGGTGCAGTCAAAGTCGTCGGATACCCTTCTCGTGTTAACTCCGTCTATGTATACAAATTTGCGTGTATCGTCAGGAACAATTGCATTGGAAGAACAGAAAGACGGATATACCTCCAATTTTCTAAACACGTACCGAAGAATCTACGTCTCAAGGAGAAAAACGCTTACAGTAGTGCCATCACCACGCATCTCCTTGACATGGTTCATGAGATGGACGTCACAAGATCGTTTAAAATAATCAACAGGCAAATGAGTTCAATTCTCCTTAAGTTTGCCGAAGCAATCTCCATCAACAACCTGAAACCCGATGTATGCGTTCAGAAAGAAGCGAATATAAGTGTTTCTTTGACCTGAGAACTGGCCGCTTTTTTCCTGTCTTTCGTCGGATTACGTAACGCCGAAAGTTTCTATTGTGTATGATCATTATTGTTTAGGATAAAGTGTTTATTATTATCATTAGAATTGTTTGCATATATTGATTGATTTTTTATTTAAAAATGAACTATGTGTAAGCATATTAAAACTGTTTTCGCAGATATACTTAGTAATGTCTTTGGGCTGTAAGCAGTTGATGAGAAGCCAACGAAATAAACAATGATGGTACTATTTTATTCTGCAAAAACCGTTGTTCTTGCTTTATTTTTTCTTCTGTTGCTACTGCAAGTTTCTAATTTGTTATTGTTAACCATAACTTGCTTTCTGAGTGGAATATATGGCTTCGGTAGCATATCTCTATTGCATTCGGGTTTCTGGCATAACTTTCTGACAGCTTCATGACTGCCCACAAGCTTACATTTCCTCTTCGGATAATCTTCTCCATGTGACCCTTGGAAACGCATCCAAGTCGTCAATTCGCGTTCGAGTTCTACTCGAGGGTTTTCATAGCATGTGATGTCACTCAGTGGTAGCTCCATAGAATGTATCTTCCATCTGTGTTTCCGTCTCCCTATTTACCGGGCTAGCAATAGGTTTTTGCTCGATTTTCTGCCTATAAGAGTCCCTTGAGACTTGCTTAACCTTCCTAGCGAATCATCTGATCATCTGGCTGGTGGAAATACTTTTGGTGATGTTCACACTATGAGTCAAAAGTATATAGGAGCACTGCCTTAACGTTAATATTAAAAATTCGGATGCTGTTTGTTGTGCTAAAAGTTCTGAGTCTCCATATTGGTACTCCGAAACCAGTTGGTCTTGTTTTTTGTTAAACTTTCACATTCACATTCGCGTATCTCTTGACTGGGACAGGTCTAGCGGGCGGAAAGGATGCCTAGCTCTTTCTAAATTCTGATCACTTCATAAACTGGTTAACATGCGAAGACAGTCAGGCTTTTTTGAAAATATCACATCTTATGTTCACCGTTAATTATAAACTACTACTTTATTTCTAGGTGTACATTGACAAAGAAAGAAGGGCAATCAGATAATCATCTAAACACTCAAACAAATTATGCCGTGAATGAAAATACCTCAGAAATGCAACAAAATTCTCTATATGCCAATAGAAATGTCGGTGAAGAGAATCAAATAGATTCGCTAACCTCTTACCAGGTGAATTCTTCTTTACCATCAATACAAAACAATGTAAGTCACTGCTTTAATTGAAATCTTGTATTTTTGCGCTGACATCAATAAGAGAACTACTGGGAAACCAGGAAGTACTGGACATTTGTTTCGTTTTAGTTTGGGGCTCTTAAGCAGTGAGTACTCCTGACTCCTCAAGGGATGAAACCTACTACTTTTAGGTTGGAAGGTGAGTCCACTGACCACTCAGCCACTGGAGTTTCATCCTGATGTTAAAGATTAGTATCTCAGTTATTAAGTTTTCTTTAGGATTTTAAATATTCTGAAAAATTATGATGAAAATCTCACCAATACCCTTAACAGTGAACTTCATGGTTGTTTAATTAATCCCGAAAATCATTAGGAAAGAGTTGTTTGGGTTATCAAAAAAATAAAGAATTAAAATCATCATTTTTCAGATTAAGAAGGGTGATCGTTGAGCTGTAGTCATTGAATAAATTAACAATTGTTATCAGTTCTCCTCACTTGTTACTCTTTACGCAGAAAATTACAAAAATTCTCACTAGTTTTTAGTGACATGACGAAACTCCTGAAGTTCCAGTAAGAAATCGGTACCCGAAGGGCCCACCAAGCCAAGTGTGAGGACAGATAATATATGATGGCAGAAAACAGAAGCGGGGTCACATCACTAACTTACAGAAAATACAGTGCATGGGTGACTGAACTCTAACCTGTTAGGTTTAATAGTAAAAGGATCATTTCGTCACCAAAAGGTATTAGTTTTATCTCTTATGGGGTTTGTTCTTAGGCACTGCCGAACAGTCTGCATGGTCTAGAGGTTGTCTAACTGATGTCGACTGACAGAAAAATTTACCTTGCAATATGATATATGTTTAAAAGCCTCTGAAGGTTTAAAATTGCTGGACATTTACTAGCCCTTGCTTTTAAATTTGATAATGGTATAAATTAATCATATTAAACAAGTGCAATGCTTACTTCCAAACTGTGTTAAGATTTGATCCATCTAATCGTAAATGCACAATAATTTACATCTTAATTATTCACATTAAATAATTTTTAAATTGTTCTACTGGTTAGACGTAAGTTTACGTGATGGCAAAGTTAAAGTATCATAGCCAAAGTCAAGGTTTTTCAAAAACTGACCTTCAAGAACGAATCAGATAGAAGGAATGCTATGAAATGCCATTCCAAATAAAATCATGCCTGTCTTTTTGAACTTGTAGAGAGTAGATACAGTATTCTCCTTATTTACTAGGTACGTTTTCTGCTAATTGACTTTATCACAATATCGAGGAAGTGGAGACGCAGCCTACTGGACACAAGAGCAAGAAGAGGAGCAGACGTTGGCTCAGACCACTACCTCGTACAAGGGACAATCCAAATCAAATTAAAAGCTTTCAGGGAAACAGGAGCTGCAGATAGACCACAAGCAAAGTTCAACACTCAAAAGCTGAAGGACCAGGCTACAAAGGACATCTTCATTGCAAACATAAGGGAAAAAGCCGAGACACAAATCAACACCAACGAAAAGGTCAGCGTCGAAAAGCACTGGAACAAATTGAAAACGGTGTGGAGTCAAACCTGCATGGAAGTCCTAGGCAGAAAAAAGAGACAGGACAAACAGTGGCTCTCTACGGACACTTGGAAACTAATAGAAGAGAGAAGGGTGGCGAAACAAAAGATTATCCAGTGCACCGACGAGCAACAGAAACAGGAGTTGAATGCAAGCTACAATGCACTGAACAAAAGAGTGAAGAAAAGTGCCAGGGAAGACAAAAGAAAATATTGTGAAACCATGGCAAACGAAGCAGAACAAGCTGCAGGCAAAGGAGACCTCGCTACACTATACCAAACAACTAGGCACCTTTCGGGCAAAAGTTCGACACAGATTAAGCCAATAAAGGACGACAATGGAAAGTCAATCACCAAAGAGGTGGAACAGAGGAAGCACTGGGCTGAACACTTCAAAAGACTTCTAAATCGTCCGCCACCTACAACGCGTCCAACAATACCAACAACGGAAGCAGAACTACCAATGAACATCGACCCTCCGACGAAATCCGAAGTCCTGAATGCCATCAAGATGCTAAAAGCTGGGAAAGCGCCAGGACCAGATGGAATCCCAGCAGAAGCTTTGAAAATAGACCCAGAGACAACAGCGGAGTTGATGACGCCACTACTAGAGAAGGTGTGGAAAGAGGGCAAAGTACCCGAGGATTGGAAGAATGGATATTTATTCAAACTGCCAAAGAAAGGAGATTTGAGTCAATGTAAAAACTGGCGTGGAATTATGCTTCTGTCCATTCCAAGCAAGATACTATGTCGCATCATCCTGGAGAGAATTAAACAAGCCCTAGATGAAAAACTTCGTCCGGAACAGGCCGGATTCAGGAGGAACAAGTCATGCATTGACCAAATCGCCACCCTACGGATTATCATTGAACAAAGTTTGGAATGGCAGTCACCTCTCTACCTCAACTTCATCGATTTTGAGAAAGCCTTCGACAGCGTCGATCGAGAGGTGATTTGGCAACTACTTCGCTACTACGGGGTGCCGCCGACAATTATACATCTCATCCAACAGCTGTATGACAACGCAGCATGCCAAGTAATCCACAACGGGAGGCTCACGGAATCCTTCGAAGTGAGGACGGGAGTGAGACAAGGCTGTCTACTGTCACCAATGATCTTCCTGATTGCAGTTGATCGGATAATGCGGCAGACAACGGCAACCAACGAGGGAACAGGCATAAAATGGACCGACACAAAAGCCTTGGAGGATTTGGATTTCGCCGATGATATATGTCTGATTTCCCACAAACTGGAAGATATGCAAGTGAAAAGCAACAAATTGGCAGAAGAAGCAGCAAAGATAGGACTTCAAGTGAACATAGACAAAACAGAGGTAATGAAGATTCCTGGCCAACATCAACAGCAACAACCGACAACAATCAGCATAAACGGGAGGAACCTGAAGGAAACAACTTCTTTCACCTACCTGGGAAGCATCGTCTCAACTACAGGAGGAACTGACGAGGATATCAAAGCCAGAATCGGAAAAGCAAGACAAGTTTTCATTTCTCTCAAGTCTATGTGGAGGTCAACAGCATTCAGCGTCAAAAATAAGATCCGGATTTTCAACTCCAATGTGAAGTCAGTACTACTATACGGATCAGAGACTTGGCGTATCACAAAGAGCAGCTCAAACAAGCTACAGACCTTCATTAACAAATGCCTTCGCTCAATACTCAAGATCAAATGGCCGGAGAGGATCAGCAACAAAGATCTCTGGGAGCGAACCAACCAGGAACCGATCGTGAAACAAATAGGCAGGAAGAAATGGAGATGGATTGGCCACACTCTGAGGAAACCAGCAAGTGACATCACTAGACAAGCCCTCGAGTGGAACCCGAAAGGGAAGCGACGAGTTGGTCGTCCAAGGGTGACCTGGAGGAGATCATGTGAAGAGGAATTGAAAGCGTGTGGGCAGACTTGGAGCCAGGTGAAAACTACAGCAGAGAACCGAACGCAATGGAGACGCATGGCTGAAGCCCTATGTTCCTGTAGGAATTAAAGGAAATAATAATAATAATTTTCTGCTAATCTATACTGTTATGTAGGGTTATGGCTTTTAAGATTACGGTTTGATGTCTAGGGATGAGGTTAGGTTCACAGTTAAAGTTAGGATTAGGGGGTTAGGATTATGGTTAGAGTCAGGAGTAGGTTGAAGAATAGTGTCAAAAATATTAATGGATCCCAAAGTACCATAACTAACAGTCACCTGCATCAATGGATATATCGTGCATGGTATGATCTCTCTACAGATCATCTGCCTAGTAATTGGAAGACATCCTTACAACACCTAAGCTATACAGTGTAATACCGTATTTGCAATGTTTTTTAGTGTGTTTTTCAACGATTATACGACTATTCGCACCTGAAGTCTGATTGTTTGTTCAAGGCCACTGTAGTCTTGGCTATGATAGTTTAATTTGCTTGCATGGTTTGATTGTTTAGATGCCTCCCCCACACTGTATAGTCACAGTTTTATTATCTAAATGACAAATATATATTGTCAAAAAAGTACTTGACTGCTTTATATCACAAAAAGAGAGACAGGTTTGCTAAGATATTCGGTTTTATAATAGATGAAACATAAAAATGTACGAAAAAAAAGTTAATTATACTGTCCAAGATTTACTTGACACTGGTGGTCCACTGTTAAGATGAATACCAAAAACTGGGGAATTCCGAGTTTGATTATCGGCCGACGCGCTCCTAAGCCCTGCTTAGTTTACTGACCGACAGTAGACCCAAAAAAGAGTATATATTGGGCAAGAGGCTGGCAGACGCATCTCGTAAAGAATAACACTGACTCTATAGAAACTTCAAGGCTTGAGGATATGTTTTCCACCCTCTACTATTCCAAGTAGTTTTCTTATGAAACATGAAAATCAAAAATTAGTTTGTTCGTTTTTTTAAACAACTTCTAGTATTGCCATGAACCACTTTCTTTATTCCTCTACGTTCCCAGTGATATATAGGGCTTCAAGCTACAGGCTTGAAGTTTCTGTAGCAATGGTGATTATTTTTAACAGGATGGGGTTGCTAGCCTCACGCCCAACCTTCCCTCTTTACCAGTCTTATTACTAACTTACCAAGGTAAAGGAGTGCGTCGGCATGGGATCGAATTTCGGACCACTTGCGTGGTCGGCGAGCACTCCATCGCTGTGCCGCGAGCCAATAATGATTACTAATCCAAATTTATTTCATAAATTACCTTCCATAACGTTAAGAAATAGTACCATATGTTAGAATAGAAGGCTAACTGACTAATTTATTGATTAGGTACAGTAAGCAACTGTCTGAAAAATAGTATTCCACCCGAATTCTGATTGTGCTTCTGCGTGTCAACTAAGTTCGTCAAAATGTTTACCAAACTTTCCACTTAATACAATCTTTTTTAAATCCGTGATGTCACTATCATTTTCTAGGCCGTTGGTTCAAACCATATCCTGATCGAGATTTTTATCTCAGCTTCAGTCTTCAACCCACCATTGGTGCACTTAATATTCTTTAACAGATTACTGAGTAGTAACGAATTTCATACATCAAGTTCTTGTGTTTGTTCATAGTGAATTTTATCAGTCAATTTTGCAATGTGGTCACCATGTTAGATGGCTCGCTATCATGGTGCACACTCACTTGAAATTAGATGACCGTGGGCTATCGGCATGAATTTCTGGACCCAGGTGTCGTGCTTGTCAGCACTCATCAGTCACCAAGGCGTATCTGCGATCTTGAAAGAACTCACGTCCTGTTTAAGATTTGGACCTGGATCACCTAGTGCTGCAAACAGTGGTGTTACAAGCATGACGTAACAATAAGCACAAAACCTAGGTTGAGAGATTTCGCGCTTATTGCCTCCAATCATCTAACTTCAAAATCAATACTAAAAGGATCATTGAGAGAATGCAATACCTATTAAATAAGTAGTACCGTACATATATACGCCTGCATGTAAAATGATGACTTTCTTCTTTTCTTTATTCTATGTCTAGAAAATCAACAATTTACAACCCAATAATACTCCAATGAATGATTTCAGTGGTACCAGTCTTAATAATCTGCATTCACTGAGTAAACAATCAACTGGCACATGCCATCTTGTAGAGAAATCATCTGAAGCTAAGCGAATGAATAGTTCAGACTATAAAGTGATTCGGTAAGAATAATAAAAACGAGTATGTCAAGTTTGTTTGTGGTTGCAGTTGGACGTTTAGCCTTGTGAATGGACTAGATTATTATTATTTATCGTTATTGTTCCCTTTAATTCCTAGAGGAACATAGGGCTTCAGCCGCAAGTCTCTACTGCATTCGCTTCTCTCCAACGTTTTCACCTGATTCCAGGTTTGCCCACATGCTCTCATCTCCTCTTCACATCACCTCCTCCATGTCACCCTCGCAATGATGACCAACTCGCCGCTTCCCATTCTGGTTCCACTCAAGGGCTTGTCTAGTGATATCACTTGATGATTTTCTCAGAGTACGGTCAATCCACCTCTATTTCTTCCTGCATATTTGTTGCGCAATCGCTTCCTGCTGGGTTGGTTCGCTCCCAGAGATCCCTGTTGCTGATATTTTTTGGCCGGCCATCTGATCTTGAGTATTGAGCGAAGACAACTGTTAATGAAGGTCTGTAGTTTGTTTGAGATGCTCTTCATGACGCGCAGTGCAAGTCTCTGATCCGTATAGTAGCACTGACTTCACATTGGAGTTGAAAATCTGGACCTTATTTTTGATGCTGAGTGCTGCTAACCTCCACACAGACTTGAGAGAAATTAAAGCTTGTCTTGCTTTCCCGATCCTTGCATTGATATCCTGATCAGTTCCATCGGCCTGTAGTTGAAACTATGCTTCCCAGGTTGGTAGGTAGAAGAAGTTGCTTCTTTCAGATTTATCCCATTTATGCTGCTTTATTCTTGTCTGTCGTTGTAGCTGCTGATGTTGGCTAGGAATCTTTGTCACCTCTGTTTTCTCAATGTTCACCTGAAGTCCTATCTTCTCTGGATGCTTCTTCTGCCAACTTGTTGCTTTTCACTTGCATATCTTCCAGTTTGTGGGAAATCAAGCATATGTCATCGGCGAAGTTCAGATCCTTCAAGTTTTTGTGTAAGGGTCCATTTTATGCCTGTTTCCTAGTTGCCCACTGTCAGTCGCATTATCCAGTCTACCGCCCACAATAAGGAAAATCATTGGAGATAGTAGGCAGCCAGCTTTGTCCTACTCCCGTCTTCACTTCGAAGGATTTCGAGAGTTTCCCGTCGTGGATTACTTGGCATGCAGCATCGTCGTACAACTGTTGGATGAGGTGGCACCCCGTAGTAAGGAAGTCGTTTCCAGATCACCTCTCAACTGATGCTGTCTGCTGAAGGCCTTTTCAAAGTCAATGAAGTTGAGACAGAGAGCTGACTGCCATTCCAAGCTCTGTTCAGTGATGATACATAGTGTTGCGAGTTGATCGATGCATGACATTTTTTTTCCTGAATCCTAAATGTATTAGATACTAAGGGGTCTATCTAAAGCGCGATGTGAACAAAGATTCTCTGCTTTCAGGTGGTCATCACCAATGCATTCCTGTAACCCTGAGCAAATTCAAAACCAAAGTGTAAATACCTTAATTCAAAAGTAGGGTCACAACACTCACCTCCTCTGAGTGGATTAAGTAAACACAAATATGTAATACTTCTAACTCATGTAGTAAATAATCAGCTTATACAAAAGAATGAATTTACGAAAGAAATTGTCATCAAAGAAGTCACTAATAAAACAACACGTAAAATCAAGAACGAAAATTTCTTTTCTCCCATCTTATTAAGTAATATAGATAATACATAAAATTAAATTCCTTATTAATTCATTTTTACACCCTCCATTCATGAAAAAAGACAAAGAATTAGGGAAAGAAAATTCCTCATTTCAAACAAAATGAAGGCATTCAATAAAGAGTGACTCTTTTCGGGGAATCATTGTCTTTGTTTTGTTAAAACGGAGAGGACTATATGTACTACTGATTGATTGAGGTGATTATTTGTATACCACTCATAACAATAAGTAGCGCTTGTCAGCCAGATCGAGGTCATCTAAACGCCAGACAGCCGCTTCTCTCGTCTGAGGCAGAGCACATCAGAGGCGTACCCAGTCTGACTCGGTTCAGAATGTGGAATCAGTTCAAACCACCCAATTTCTGGCTGCCTGTGCTTGGGCGAACTGGTTGTTCCAAAGTCAAATTTCCAATTGTCAATATACGCAGTCTGAGGGGTGAAATTTTCACCACAGTTTCCTAATAATAATTATTATTGTAGTAGCTTTATTCTGAGCAGTGTTCGTATAATTTCCTGAATTTTCAGTGCAGTTTATTGCATGATATTTTATTTTCGTGCAGGATATTCATATGAAATATTAACTGACAGTGGATTTTGTGACACAGTGCTTTCTGACCTGAAGCGCAAACCAATCCATTTTGACATTTCTTGTGTGTCTCCTTAGAGAACGTACGAAATTCTGTTGAAAGATAATTGTAAAAAGGGAATAACTCAGGAACAGTTATCTAATGTATTGGAATACACTGCGACCCAGGATTATGCTTTTCCTCTAGTTTAGCAGAAACTGGAGACTCGACAGGTTGTAAACCCTTTAAATACTCGCGAGACTAAAAAATATCATTAGGGGTCATATTTTAATTGATTAAAACATTGTGAACAGGAAAAGTTATATGCAGCATTGTGGCATACAGCTACTCATTTCAGTCAGTTAGTAGTATATAGTTTATGTAAATATTTTAGCTTTCTTGATAACCATCTATGGTACTAAGCAAATCACACACTTTTATCTAAATAATTTGGTTTCCAAAGGACAGTGTAGCGGAATTTCAGACCTTGAACTGTGTATATTACAAACTGCTTACTAAAGCGGAAGGTTCTGGAGAATGTCACCTGACTAATAATACAGTTCAGAAAAGGAGAGACAGGTGGATTATTTTTCGACATCGATCATGAGAAGCTAAGATTAACCTTTGCCTGATTCTGATGTGAAAAATCCCGCTTGAAATAATTGTCAAACCTTTAGATCAGGTAAGTCAAAGTAAATGCGTCAGTTGTAGAATGCTTACCAACCACGCAGGTGGTGTAGATTCAATTCCTCGCCGATGTACTCCTAAACCTAGCCTGCAGCACTGACTGGAAGTGATCCTGGAAAAGAATGAAGGTTGAATGTGAAGTCAACAATCCAACCTAGTTAAAAACGACACTACCGCTGCTGAAAGTTTACACTTGAGGACTTATACCCTACTCGTAAGGCAAAAGAATAAAACAAACCAAAGTAAAACAGTACAATGGATCCATTACGTGGTAAATATTTTCTGAAGGCTGTCCCCCGATAATTAGAATTCTCCAAATAATTAATTAAATACCTACCCAACTGAACAGAAAGTTAGAATGATAAACGAATAGCTAAAAAGAGTGTTATCAGTTATGTAGCTGTCTGGTAAACTCTGGAATTCATTGCAGCTTTCTCAAAGTTACTTGTTCTCTGGTGGCTAGCAGTAGAATCTAGGACGCGCGTTCCATCCTGTTTAGAACTAGTCAGCTGGATGCATTTATCCCCTTAGTACCTAAATCTTCAACAACCAAAGCGTCAAACCCCCTAGGCCAAGAGCCATCTAATGGACAACGCTTTGAAGTTTGAAGCGATGAGTATAGGGTTCGAGTCTCAGGGGGAATATCATCATTCACTGAATCAGTGCATCCAAAACAGAATGAAAAGCGAGTTCAAACAAGTAACTTCCAGTTTTTGTATTTATTGTTATTTGTTTTCTAATTATTAGTATGCTATATCAATAAAAGCTAGTAAGACTGTGGGTTTACTTATCATTTCCTTTCATACTGTCTTCTTAACTTCTCAGTCCGAATAAAACATTCAATGAGAGTCAACTTGAATCAAAATTATTCCCAGCAACGTGTAACACTTTAACAAATTTTATTACAACTTCCAATACTACTGATCAAATAACAAGTAGAAAGACACAAATCCTTAGTAATAATAATCATCATCAACAACACTATTATCCACCGTTTCGTAATCGATTACCATCTGAATTAAAACAACACGAACAATACCTTGATCGTAGTATAACATCACAGTCAATTTCTTTGCGAGGGAAATGCGATAACTTCAAGACAGACAGTTCACAGTATATGGAATCTATACAGATATCTGGCTTAACACTTACTAAAGATGAAGTGAGTTTCTCTATAATGCAAGAAAACTTTAGTGACTTTATTCTAGACAGAATATTTACACAGTGTAAAGAATTTTCAGACTGCTTTATTGCATTTATCTATTCTCTTTATCCAGAGTTTTCAAGTAAAGTATCAATCGATAGTATATCGTGTGACTTGGTGGTGGTCGATCTGAAGCAAAGGCTAATATCTTTTGATATGTTTTCTTTCTTCTCCGAGAAAGGTACACTGTTAAATTGAAAGCCAATTGGAAAAATGGGTGTCAGTACACTTTGCGATCCAAGGACATAACTGAATGGTTTAAACAGTGAGAGTAAGGGAAAATATGATGCACTGTGTAGGATTAAAACAGATGACTCAAGTGATTCAAACCCAGTGATTCAACACCAGTGTTAATCAATTCTTCTATGTGGGTCAGAAACTTGGCACATCAATAAAAGCATTTCGAACAGTCAACTGCAGACTTTTATCAACACCTGCCATCGCTCACTCCGCTCTAAAGATCAGATAGCTCCCCAGAAAGAATTAGCAATAAGAAACTCTGGAAAAGAACAAGTGAGAACCAACTGCTCAACACATATGCCGTAAGAAATGGAGGTGGATCGGACACTCGCTGAGAAGACCGTCGGATGACATCTCTCGAGTTGAATCAAAGTGAGAAAAGACGAGTTGGAAGTGGGTGCGATGATGAAATGGAGGAGATTGTGGGGTCAGCTAAAGAGGGCTGCAGAGAATAGAACGAATTAGAGATGTTTTGTTGTCGCCCTGTGTTCCACTTGGAACCCAAGAAAATAATAATAAACCTAGTGATTCAAACAGGCAGCCAAATTGATGCAACCGTAGTAATTCAAGATATTAAGATATAAATTACTGAAAGTTAAACAAAAAGATATGGACAAGGTACTCACGGCTGATGGTATGAGAAATATTGCTAAATTACTCACAACACATGAAATAGAATTTGAATAATATAACATCATGTCTTATACCGACATCCGATACTCATTATTTGATAAGAGAAAATATTTCATTCGACCTCACTGATTCATAAACGTGAAATGTATTCATACATTCTAGGTGATAGTTTTTACGTAGTTCTGTGTGTATTGGTAAACCAGACACCTACCTAAACTGCAATAAATCGCCTCAGATGCAGTGAAAAAGTATGACAGATAGGTATAATTTTTATTTGAGGCCAGATTATTTGACTTTAGCCACGAACTGATTCCAACATCTACCGAATTCAAAGTTTGATTGGCAACTGATTTCGTTTGGAGGATCAGTGATAACCACCAGGGAGAAATGAACAGCTGTTTCGCCCCAATTTCTGACTTTTCATCAGCAAGCGTGCTTGACCCGACCAGGGATCGAACACAAAAGTAGGATTCTTTTAAAAGACATTTTATGATTTATCACTGTCCTTTTATCGTGTACATTATGTGTGTAATATAACCATTTGACACAGAGTGGTGATAGAGATTTATATCGCAAACTGAATTCATGGGCCATTGGGTTTCGGTTGCAGCGAAGAAAAATCTCTCTTTTAGACAAAGTCATCAACTACATTGTATATTTATGAATACACATAACAAAGGGGTGGGAAAACTCCCGAACTATTTCCAGTGAGATGTCGAAACATAACGAATAACAAGATAAAGTTAAGTGAAACAAATAGGAATTAAAATAAGAAAATAAGCATAAAGATCAGATAATTACCACAAGTAAATAATTGTGATTTTTTTTGAGAAAATGTTAGTAGTGACTAAGACAACAGTTGAATGTGCTGCTTTTAGTTATATGTCTTAAATGTTTTATGTGTACCTAAATACCTTGATTCCACTTCCTTTAAGAGGTTTAAGCAGATCTTATATAAAACTTTTGAACTCAGAACATTCAGCCCCTTTTAAGAATTCCTTCAAATATTTACTCAAGAACTGTTCAAATCTCCCAGATGCAGTGACATAAAGATGTTTAGGCATAGCTGAAGCGTTAGCGACCCATAAACTCAAGCCAAAGTTAAGTAACCAAAAGAAATGCCTTTTTCTTTTCCATGGCTATCATAAAGAGCTTGTTTTCTAGAGAATTTCATTATTATCTAATTATATAGCTGTCAGATATCCAGATCGCAAAGATCCTGAACCCACCTCTGGTTTTGGAAGACTAAGCCTAATACTCAGAATAATATGCACTATAACTAACGCGGAACAACAGAAAATGGTTGAGCAACACGATTGTTTACTGTTCAGCCGATAACGAAACAGAAACACAGGTTATTGTCAGCAAAGTTGATAATCGTTAATATAATGTACAACAATACTTCTGATTGTATTTCTCTAATCTTCTGCCAACCAATATACGATTAAGTAACGATAGCCTTCTCGTCTCCCGCCAGTGAAGACCATGTCGAATAAACAAACGATTCAATGTTCACCAGCACTGATAGTAGCTTGATCTTTTTATTCGCTTTATTTTAACTTTTGAATAAAACAGCTGTGGAACTTTCTCACACCTTTGTTATATATTCAAAAATGTAAAGTCTTGTTGATGAATTTGGCGAAAAGAGAAATTTTCTCTTCTCTGCAATCGCTTTTTTGTTGTTTTTTTTCTATGAACATTAGACTTGTATTTTTCAGGGCATTAATTTTGAAAAAATTCATTCGCAGAATGGCTGCCCGTGATGGTAAGAAGAACTGATTTACTGTCAGTTAATAGATGCTTAGAAAACTCAGCTTGGTACGAAAGCAGGAGACTGACCTTTGCGTCCTACTATATAACTTGCCAATACTTTCTTGAGAGATGCACAGTCAAGAAATGCTCCAAAGATAGCCAAAAGACAGTTACTTTTCCTTAGATCTATGGTTCTTTTCAACAGTAACAAAATTAAGAACTCAAAATTAACTGGATTCTTTAGTTGGCTATACAGGTAATGTAGGTTTCTAAACATGAAAAGCACTACAGAACAAAATTAGTTAACCGAAATTCAGCCATAAGAAGTACCTTAGAATAAGGTAGCATATTTCCTGCAAGATGGGGTCAAAACTCTATCCACGAGAATCATGCAACAACGATTCCCGCAGACAGTCCAAAGTTAGAATGACCTTCATTCACTCTAAAATAAATCACATCGTAAAAAGACATTACTAATATCATCACACTACAACAAAGAGAAGCATTAAAAGTAGACGAAAACAAACAAAAAGGATCATGTTTTCTATAATTTGGTTTGTAAGGTTTAGTTATGTTTTTACGAGTTGATCACGGATTGATATCAGTTAGAGAACCACTGAAAACCAGGGAGCACTGGACAGCTGCTGTTTCATCCTAGTTTGGGAATCATCGACAGTACGGACCCACTGGGATTCGAACCCAGGACCTTCCTGTTACAAGGCAAGCTCGTATACCATTCAGCCACTAGGACTCCACCCGATTCAATGGCTCATGGATTCTAACTTCTACCAATTCGTGATTTAGCGCGACCCCAACCATTGTCGTTGGTGGGACATCCATCCACACAAGTGACATCTAACTGGACCTCACTGGTCACGACTTCTCACTAGAACTCCAGGAAACTCTATCCTGTAGCAAGTCACTAGCGAGCATCAGATTAATTTTCTATAGTTTGGTTTGTAAGGGTTAGTTATGTTTTTACGAGTTGAACACGGATTGATATCAGTTAGAGAACCATTGAAAACCAGGATTAAGTCAATATATGATATACAAACGTCAGAATAATGATATGCAGCTTAAGAGAAAGGGAGATAATAATTACAAGGTTACCTAAAACATCCAAATAAGCATAAATACTGGGATTAGATCGTTCAAGAGGGATCTTCCAATTGATTATTCCGTCATAAAAGGCAGATCATTTTTGAGGCTATATAGATTCATATGTGTAAAGGAAATTATCTTCAAGTCTTAAGAATTTTGTTAATACTTTACTATTATGCGTTTTTTTTCAATTTTAGATTGCTGCAATTATCAATGAACGAGATGAATTATATGAAATACTCAGAGCTAATGAAGAAGAGGCTAGTGCACGGTATAGTACAGAAAAGCGTTTAATAACAATGAAACAAGAATTTACCGCAGAACAACAACGTTTACGACAGATAATTACTGCTCTAGAAGAGGTATAAAAGTAGCTTCCTGCTTTGTGTATTTAGAGTGTACATTATCCCAGAATTACTCTGTTCATTGTTTATCATATAATATATGAGCTTTTAATTCTTTATAAACTAATTGTTTTACAAGGTTGAAACCATGTAAATAAAATTTATAACATTTACATAACAAAATAAATTTATATGCTATATCATGAGGTTAAATAATTACTAATGTCATTATTATTATTCGTTAGCTTTGTTCCAAGTGAGACGTTTGGCTTCAGAGAACCATCTACTTTGTATTCTGTTCTTTAACGACACTTTCAAATGGCTCGATAAAGTTCACAAGACTTTTGTTTCGTCTTCACACTCTCTTCTTCATGTCACTCTTGAACGCATGTCAAACTTTTCGCTTACCAAGTGGCTTCAACTCAACGACCTTCATGGCATGGGATGTCACAATGAATCTCTCCTCAGGCTATTTACAATCTATCTCCACTTCTTCGTGTTTATTTGATGACCCAGCCATGGGTTGTTGGGTGGTTAGTTTCCAGACTTCAGTGTTGCTTATCTCTTCTAGTCGGTTATATGAGTGGCGAGCAAAACTGAGTGTTGATTAGAGTCTGCAGCCTGCTGACGGCTAAGTAATTTTTCTTTTATCCTTCACGTTCCCCAGTGGAACATAGGGCTTCAAGCTTGTGGCTTGAAGTTCCTGTAGCAATGGTGTTTATTTTACAGGATGGGGTTGCTAGCCTCATGTCCAAACTTTCCTCTTCACTAGCATTATTTCTGGCTTAACAAGGTAAAGGAGTGCGTCGGTGGCCGGGGATCGAACCCCGGACCATGTTCATGGTCGGCTAAGTAATATTTTGTATTTATTCTTAGACAACTTACACACAAAAATAGCCGTATAAAAGCTTTCACATATGATATAATAAAACAGAATAATAATGGGATTCATCATAAAATAAATGAGTTCACAATAATTTGGAATTTAACTATGATATCTTCTTACTTAAAATAATTTGTCTACCTATTGAATTCCCATAAGGCATTGAATTATCATTTATGTCGGCTGTAGTAAGTCTGGTTATTAGGATGTAAGCGTTTAACTACACTTGGAGCAATCGTTCCAAATAAGATGAGCATTTTACAAAGTGAAAACAAACATATAGTTCAGTGAAGAGGCTCTTTTCGCTGAATTCATTTTCTTTAGCGAATCGATCGCATTTATATACATAATCTGTTTCATGAAAGAGAGTAGCAAAAAAAGTGATGGGTTGTCATAATCATAGTTGTTAATATTGATCAGTGCATAAGATGGGTTGGATAAGTGTATAAGAGTTACGTAATAAGATGAATAATTTCAACAGATGAATTGTAATCAGGATGTACATAGAAACGAAGGAAATTATGCAATTACGTAAGAGTCCTAAACAAATACAAGTTATGAGGAGTTAGGAAAAGCAAACAAACAAAAATCAATTGTTTAGAAATCAAAAAGGTTTTTACCATGATAGCAGGAGTGACTGAATAATTTTCTTTGGTATTCATAGCTCCGGTTTCTCTAACTGAATAGCTAAAGCTTCAACAATGTAAAGGATACGAAATACTATTGTCTCTGGTAGGTAGTCCTTCACTTTGCAGATTACTTCGAAGAAAGTTCTTGCTGAGATGGAATGACCAGTGTTCACAAGGTGTTCAACTATCGCACTTCTCATAGAACCACTACCGCCTTTTGGCAATCATGTGGGATAGTGTTCTTAAACTCTTTTAGACGAGATATGCGTCGAATGACCAATATACCTAGCTCCACAAGAACAGGTCAACTAATATATGCACATAGAATTGGTCATAAATTAAAAATAATTGTTTTTAAGAACAAATAAAATTTTGAGAACTGTAAGAATCACAGGGCGTTGAATAAGAAAGAAGTCTCTGAGATATGAATCAGAAAAGTAGCTTGACAGACACTGCGTAAAAGTTCTGTTTCCTTAAAACTTAAATTTCCTCTCGTGATGGATATACTTCACTATCTATTACGAAGTCTGTAGAGGGAATAAAGATGAACAGGAAATTTCAGATAACAGAGTCATGATAATTTTGATTTACTGTTGTTTATTGAATCATGATATGATGTATGTGCAGGATTCGAGAGCCACTGGAAACATCATCACTCACTCACTAACTCACTGGGGACCCATCTACATCCAGATAACGAGTCCCAAATAGGACGAAACGCGTATCCTCGATTCCACTGTTAGTTAGCATCATCCAGAATAACTTCAGGTTAGCATCTGTTCTGTCTTCCACACCTATTTTGATTCTCCTACCTCCGTCAAATACTACTAGTTCAGATTTCAAAATATTTTCTTATAAATGTCTCTAAAAATGACCCTAACCTACCTTAACCAACATTTTAATGATACTTCCTACTTTTGCTATCACTTATTCTTCTGATAAACAGAAAATTAATGTGTACTTATGAGCATGATACAAACTGAAACAAGCTTTCTGTTAACATTTATATGAGATTTAAAATGGAAGTACATTTTACTGAATAATAGAAAAAGAAAATAGGAATTTCCCTTACATATATCTAGTAAAGGTGTAAGACAACAGAATCAGAACAGCTTATCTTTTGATATGCAGACTTAAATTCTTCAGAAATGTTGATACTTATCAGGGGAACGGTAGATATTACCAATACAGGTTTTTAATTTATGGGCACACATGTCATGATATTATACTTTAAAATAAAACTTTAATTAATACATTTGGATTTTGTTTAAGTTAATTTGAATTTCCCATTCCCTGATTTATATTGAACCAAAAGCCGCTCTCTCTAGATATGCTGGTACCTAGCGTAAACACGCCAACGACATCTGATGGTTAACATACTGTCATTCGTTTGATGGTGAGTAGCAATGGAATCCAGGATGCGCATTCTCTCCTATTTAGGACTCTTCAGCTGGATGTATCTACATCTCCAATGTCCCGACTGGCCTAGTGGATAATGCTTTTGAAACGATGAGTACTGGCATCCAAATCTAAGTAAAAACACTATTACTCACTAAGAATGCAGCCGGTAAGTTCCAAATAGGACGAAATATGCCTCCTAGGTTCCATTGCTGGCCAACGTCAACTATCTGACAATATATGAATTTTGTTGATTCCACTACTCATGAAACAATGATGAGGTAATTATTACTGCTATGATTACTGTTATGATTTGGGTCTTGTAATGTGAGTAATTCGGCTTTTATACCGGGACTCGAACTCTTAAAAATTTAAAAAGTAGCTGAGTTATTTTTATGTATTATAAATAAAATTTGACAAATTATGTTATAATTTCTCTCAAAATCAGACTGTAATCTTCCATTACACTATTCCCTAATATTTGCCCAAGTCTGAAGAATGGGTGAAGTAAATTTTTACACATGTTACCTACAGAAATTTATTTTTTTTTATTTATTAACGTTCCCGATGAAACACAGGGCTTCAAGCTAGAGCTTTGAAGTTTCGGTAGCAGTGGTATTTATTTTTACTGGATAGGGTTGCTAGCCTCATGGCCAACCTTCCCTTTTACTAGTCTCATTACTGGATTAGCGAAGTAAAGGAAGGTATCGTCCAGGGATCAAACCCCGAACCACATACGTGGTTGGCGAACATTCTACCGCTGTGTCACCAACCTACAGAAATAATGAGGATAAAAGACAATTCAGTGAGGGAAATTTTCTTTATCGACGAAGTCATCTTCAGAGGCTAATACAACTGTATTTATATTTGACAAAAACGTATAGCAGTCTATTATTATTCAGTAATAGGTTGATGTGATATATTAGCCACACCAAGTGCACACTTCCCAAATGCATCTGTGAACATTATCCAGAAGACGATACAGGCCAATTACCAGCCCAGTTTTCCGCAACTGGGGGAACTCAAGTCACGTAGCTCCAGAAGAGTCCACTTTTAAATTCGCCTGCATAGTGTCACTGAATAACACAAAGGATTTTATGTTTTGACACTTGTATATGCAGGAGGTGCTAGCGATTCGTCAGTGTAACTCCTAACTTTCTGTACAGAACCACTGAAAACAAGCAATGGAGTACTGGACAGCTGTTTCATCCTAGTTTGGGAATCATCGGCAGTACCCACTCACTGGGGTTCGTAACCAGGAAATTCCGGTTACAAGGCAAGCTTGTATATCATTCAGCCAGTCCATGAATTCTAACTTCTACCAATTCGTGATTTAGCGCGACCACCAACTGATAACAGTCCGTGATCAACTCGTAAAAACAAATCTGATCCTTACAAACCAACAATACAAAATTAGTCTCTCATTGTAGCATACTCTTAGACTCTTTTCTATTTGTTCGCTACTATCGATTCTGCATGTTCCTTAATTTCATCTTACTAGTTTTTCTCGTGCCTCCTTCACACCTGTCCAGTGGACACTCAACTACCTTACTTCCCATCTGGTAACATTTTTCACCTTCTCGAATTTAAAACCCATAACTTCTATTTTATCGTCAACTATTTCGTAATTTCTTCTGACCTTTAGAAACCACTTCTGGTTAATTGTATTGGTCAGGTTACACATCCCTATTACTCAACAGTAGATTGCCATGTCCTTTCGGTAAATATGAATACGATTTTACAGCCTTTAAAGGTAGCTTCGCCGACAAAGAAAGTTTTTTTCGCTTAAATTATCCTTGTTTTTTCCCATGACCTAGTGGGCATTTTCAATCTAATTAGAATAAATCTTAATTATAAAATCTAATCATCAATAAAAATATCCTACCAAATGAAATATACTTTCAGCAGTTAATTAGAAAACTTTTCATCAAAATTTTCTATTAACCAGACCTCCTTTTTTATTTCTTATAGGAATTGGAAGTTACAATGTGTCGTCTTAATCAACTGACAGCTGAAAGAAGTAAATGGACAACAGAAATGACTGAAATTAAAAATGAACGAGATGAAGTGAAAGAAAAGTTGAAAAATGCTGAGGAAAATCACAAAACTGAAATATCAGAGTTAAAAAATGTATGTTCACTTTAAATATTTCAGTACTATAAACTCCATAACTGAAAACAGTTTATCGAAACTCGAAATCAAAGGTACTAGTAGTCAGTGGCAGAAAGATTCTCAAAAGACCACCACTGAGCAGTCGTAAAACTTATTGATTGTTTATTTTTTCCTTGGCCTTTAGAGTGGAACATAAGGCGTCAAGCCTCAGTTTTGAAGTTTCAGTAGCTGTGATGTTCTGTTTTTTAAGGGATGGGGTTGCTAACCTCACACCTCAGCTTCTCTCTTTCCTGGGCTTACTATCGGCAAAGCGAGGTTAAAGACTGCATTGGAAGAGGATCGAACCGCAAACCACTTGGGTGGTTGACGAGTATTCAACCACTACACCACCGAAAAAATAGCTGTCTACCAGCGAACAAAACATATTATTATAAGACATCGTTTCGACTATTACAAGTTACTTATCAAGATAATTAAATCTCTGACAGCCTTAAATGTATCCAACCATCTTTAATCAATTTCCTTTCAATGTTAGATTTTTGGGTGATCTCAACAGTAATTTTTCAATGAAGACATAATCTTGTATTGATTTTATGTTAGTTTCTTTGCAAAGTATTCAGTAAACTCACAGAATAAGTTAATTGTTCATTTTGTGATTGCTACCAAAGTTCAGTTGGTTTCAAGTGCTGCTCTCAACTTTTAGACAACTTGTTATTAATCCAGGTACCAAGATTTTTCTCCAGTCTTACAACACAGTTTTTTGTCTGTTTATGAAAGTATTCCTTTGTTGCCATAGAAACGTATTTCACTTTTGGTTCGAGGATATTAAAACTGTTCTGACTAGTTTCTTAACATTGATGCCTGATGTGTAAGCTGCTTTCACATAGTATTTGATTCAGATATAACAATAAAGACTATGAAGAACTATTAAACTACAATTTACATTTAAATATAAATAACTGTTGTATGTGGTTAAAGGATTTCATCATCAGCTGACATCAGTTAGAGAACTACTGGAAAAGCTGGGATTACTGGACAGCTATTTCGTCCTGGTTTGGGACTCTTAATCAGTACGCACCGACCGCCAAGGTTCGAACCTATGACCTTCTGGTTACAAAGCGAGCTAGATCGTAGACCATTAAGTGACTGTGAGCTGATCCAATGGCCCACGAATTTTAACCTCTGCCAATTCATAACATAGCGCAACCACTTCGCAAGGTCTTCTTCGATGAGGTACTACCTCACATTCAACCTGCTATACCCTACTGGTCACGGCTTCTTACTGCCTGGCTAGGGCCAGTCTCTAGTGTGCATTAGATTAATTTTCAGGTATTGGTTTTGTAGGAATTTTGTTTCATTAGTTGAAGGATTTCATCATGAGCTGACATCAGTTAGAGAACCCCTGGAAAACCTGGGAGTTCGAACACTGTCGGTAGGTGCGTAACATGAAGAGTCCCAAACTAGGATGAAACGGCTGTCCAGTACTCCCAAGTTTTCCAATGGTCCTCTAACTGATGTCAGCTCATGATGAAATCCTCCAACCAATCAAACAAAAACTCCCTATAAAACTGACATGTGAAACTATTATGTGTTACAAAACGTTGAGTTGAAATAGGAACACAGAGCTGGTGACAGATGAGGTAATCATGAGTATCGCTTGTTTACACCAAAAACGTATACATCAGCTAAGCGACTTCTCAGTCCGTAACTTAATCAACAGCACACAAAAGACGAGATGAAAAAGTAAGTATGTTTACGCAATAACGTATAATTTAAAAAATCACCAGGAACATGTCAATTAGTTTATAATCATGCCCAATAAAATATTGGGCGTATTTTATGTAGGTCAGTTCTGATTGGTTTATTTCCAGACTAGACATTGGTTACCGCAGCAATAACTTTGCTCACCGATAAGGAGCTAAGACCATATGATGTTACGTGGCTGGAGACAATTGATATGTAGCCCTAAACCTAGGTTTCTCACTTCTTAGGTCTCCTCAGCGTGTCGCATTCGCAAACTCTAAGAAAATAATGTCCCTTCCGACATTTGAATTCGTACAGCCCAATGCCACGGTCAAAGACCTCGCCACTTAAACTATTTGAACCTACGGGTGCTCTGGACGCATTTACTGGTTACTCGGGAGTAACCAATATCATGTTTCCAAACCTTCATGTTGGTTCTGACTGAATTATGTCAGTGAATTTTGCAGTGTGCTCACCAGGCTGTGTGACTCATCGTCGTCGTGTAAGATGGTTGACGGTTATTGGCTTCTTTTTTCCTAAACAGCTAAAAATATCGCTCAAATAGTTCAGTAAAAATAGATGACTAAGGCTTTATACTTCTTATTCGGTCCAGCTGATGACCAATATTTTGTTACATCTTAGAGTAAACAGAAGTAAAACGAACTTTATCATACCTAGGAAACTGTTTATCTATATCACCAGTAATGCATTTGACAATAAAGCTTAATATATTCCATCAAAAAGAGTCTTCAATAGAAACTTGATATTTGGTTTCGAGTGAGTGTACTTTTCTAAAGAGTTGTTCCAACTACTTAGATTAATTACTGGTAGTTGAGCATTACCGCAAGGCATACTTCACTGCATATTACTTTTTAAAACAGGAACTGATTCTAACAGCAAACTTAACCTTTTTTGTTCAGTTGGACAACTTGAATGCATTTAGACATCCGTAAACAAAGATGTTAATTCCTCTCAGCTAGACTTTTGTTCATACAAGTAATTCTAAAAATTACCTTAAACATTTTTAATACATTTTCATTTGTATTTTAGGAATTTGAACAAAAAGTGAGGCAAATTAAACTAGAAGAAACAAAGAAATCTGAAGTTATAACAAAAGAATTTGAACAGAGGATAAACAGTTCCTTGAATGAACAAATGGAAAAAACACTAGAATTTCAACAAAAAATAGAAAAGTTAAATAAAACATTGAAACAAGTAGAAGAAGAGAAGGAAAATTTAAGGTATCTGTGCTGTGTGTATGATATTTCGGCACTTATGTCACTCCACATATCTTTCAACCATGTTCAGTTTACTAGTTCACTAGTTAACCAGTCTGTCCTAAGCCGGAAAAAGGAGCGAGGTGGTTTGGAAACTACTTCAGCGCTACACAATTATTATTATTATTCCCTTGGGTTCCGAGTGGAACATAGAGCTTCAACAACACATTTCCACTTTGTTCTATTTTCTGCCATCCTCTTCATCTGGGTCTACGATTGACCATAATCTTTCATCTCCTCTTCTCACGTTCTCTTCCATATCACACGAGGACAACCCACGCACATCCGCTGCTCTACACAATGCAGTGTACCAAAGCTTTATCAACTTCGTTCAACAGCTTTGTGATGCCACCTTCAGTCTCAAACTAAATGTCTGTCTAATATTTCCTTGTTCCTACTGATTTTTCACCAGAAACACCTATTGGTGACTAAGTGATTGACATTAACAAATAAACGATCGAAACAGTCGAAAAACAACTTCACTTGATGATTTTTGAGTAAAATAGGTTTATTTAGTGGGATATAATTAGTAATAAACAGAATGTGATTTCTGCAAAGTCAAATCAACTCAGTATATCACATTAGCTAAACTACCGATCCACAGTAAAATCAGTCAGGTACCTAGAAAATAACCCTTGGACAATAATCCAATGCTCACCAATGATTTAACTACAGGAGACAGTGCCCAAGGTTTTAGTCAGGAGCCGTGGTTAGTGTAATCTACCAAGTCAGGTGTGAAAACAGATACTCACCAATTCAGTTGCACTGTATATTGCAAAATGGCAAAAGTTGAAACTGACTGGTCATAGGATTCCATCCTACTGGCTGAGTGGTTGACCAGTTGTTCAGTACTCCTTGGTTTTCAATGGTTCTCCGAGTGATTTCAGTCCCTTACATAACTCCAAGTCAGTCGAATCTCTACAGATCAACAACTGAATATCCTGATTATGTTGAGTTTTATTCATAATGAAGATGACACCTTATATGTTTTATACATCTAAAGCACTTTTACAAAAGAAATCTATTTTATACGTTTTTAGACTTGAAAATGTGGAAATAACTAAAGAACATAGAGAAAGGGAACGGCAAATACGTTGTGAATATGAAGAAATTCTAGAGAATAAATCAGTAGAGAAAGTAAGTTGAGGCGGATCTAACATTCTGAACTAATGTAGCATAATTTGCATAGCGTAACAAATTCTACATTGTCCACAATATAAGATTGTATGAGAAAACTAGAATTGATCCACTGATCCTCAATAACTAACTACAAGATGAACTTTCCAGAGTTTTAGTTAGATGTCCTGACCTATGCAGTCCAGTAAATAATGTGTGGGGGAAGTTTTAATACGGGGATGATTAGATTTGTCAACGTGATCCCCAGTAGGTTCGTAGGTGCTTACTGCTGAACAGTTCAAACTAGGATGAAACGGACATCTAAAGGCCCCCTGATTTTCAAAAGTATTCTCAATTATTTCGATTTCGATTGAAATCTGTCTAGATGTCAGTCAAATCCCTGCAACCCAGACTTGAAAATCTTTAAAACTAGTAGAGATCTGTTTAAAGTGAACTTAAAGTATCTTTGAATTAAAGAAATCCAGAGTGAATGATTAAATGTGAGTAGGATATATGTAAAACTGTAGCTTTTCTCTTTACTGAAAGTCATTCTCTGCTAATATCCTTCATGCAGTCTTCTTTTGAAAAAGAATACTTTATTGGCTGTCAGGGTAAATATTAAGATACGATTTTTAATAACAATAATTTTCAAGTGAAGCTTTGCTGGGGTTCGATCGGTTTCAGATTTGATTAGGAAGTGATTTCAGTTGGAGAACCACTGAAAACCAGGGTTTACTAGACAGTGGTTTCATCCCTATGTAAAACTCTTCACCAGAATACATCCATGATCATCCCAGGACTATCAGACCCAGGACCTTCAAGTCACAAGGAGAGCTCGCTGAAAATTCAGTCACTAGGACGGAATTCAATAGCTCGTCATTTCTAATTTCTGACTATTTGTTATATATTGCGCCATCGCTTTGGTTTGTAGTGGTTCTCGAACTGAAACCAGTTAGTGTGCGAAGTTTAAATCAATCAAAACTTCGCAAACTAACACTTGGTTTAACGGTCGCTAGTAACATACTACAGAATGCAGTTACCTGGAGTTCCAGTGAGAAGTCGTGTCCAGTCGGTTTCAGCAAGTTGAGCGTGAGAACAGATGCATACCGGTGACACTGAGTGACGGTAGCGCAGAAGTTAGAATACGTAGGTAGTTCCATTCCGTTCTAGTAGGTAGATGTTAAACGGGTTCTTTTCGTTACTTGAAGTCCTTGAGTCCGATCTCTGACAGTTTCATACGTGTGGACTAATGAAAGCCCCAAACAAGAACGAAACAACTATCCAATAGTCCCTGATTTCCAATGGTCCTCTAACTGGAGTCATTTCATGACCAAACTTAAAAATACTTTATGAAATCTAACTAGAGGAAATTATATTGTCTTGTCAGCAAATTACAGTTTTTCTCCCATAATTATATACTTACTGGTTTTATTTAACAGCTAATTTTACGGCCCTATTTAAATTTAATTACAACCTTTTCAGTATTAGTCAAGAAAAAGAAGAACCAAACTTTTAGTTTCCACTTATGGTGGCCTTTTTGAATCACTGGTCAACCAGAATTTTCAACCAACACAATGCATAAAATTTCCTTTATTTCTTTTTAACCATACAGTTATGTCCGTACGGCTCCAAATGTACTCACTCACATTAATAATTGACTTTCAACCTAATGCTGAGCATTTCTGGGTGACAAAGGGAAAATAACATAAGGGATATTTTATTCATCAGACTGAACAGCATTGGTAGCACATGATGTACTCTAGATTGCTGTTTCACTTAGAGGTCCTGGATGAAGAGAAAATAAACTAGGCTGGAAATTCTGTGCAGAATAAAGCTATTATTATTGGTAGTAGTATTAGTAGTAGCACTTTACTGGTTGTAAAAAGTAACACTATTAGTAGATTAATAAATCTAAGTGAAATTTAGTTTTTAAGTAACAATTTAGCCTGATTTTTTATAAATCGCGAAAGTGAATTCTGTACTTTCCAGTAGGTGGTAAGATGGCGAGGTTAAATAATAGCGTCCCAGGAGTGTGAACGCTCAAATAACCTTGAACGCATGCTAGTCGTTGGCTGACGGCACCTGTCATTATCATAGCTGAAATATCAACGCTATTCACCAAATAAGCAGCAAATTTCACTCAGATCACGTCTTTAAGTACTGTTTGGACAATGTGTTAGGGTTGGGATTAAGCTTAAGGTGAGTATTTGGGTTAGGGTTAGGATCAGGGTTATAATTAGCCTTAGGGTTAGAATTACGGTTTGGGGAAGGGTTATGATTAGGGTTAGGATTAAGGTTAGAGTTAGTGTTAGGGTCAGGATTAAGGTTAGGGCTGCGATTAAGGACAGATTTGTAGTTGATGTCATTTATTTTAATTTGTTTTATTATCCACATTTTCCTGGTAAGTATTCGTTGATCCTCTTACTGGAAACCATAGTAATTCAACCGAGGGCTTTGGAGAGGACTGCACAACAGGATAAAAGGGGTAAACAATTCACAAAAACAACTCATCTTTAGTTACCTCGTCGAATACATGTACAGAAACTAGTCTGACGTAGCAACTAATACTCCTAATTATAACTGGGACGTTTATTTTAAGTCATGTCAGAGAAAGATATCCTGTTTAATGTGCTTCCATGCATTTTCTAGTAAATGTACGTCATTTTTTGTGCAAAAGTCACTTATTTTTATGATTAGTCGACTGATGGTCACTTGTGCGTTCGCCTCTCTTGGGACGCTATTGTTGAACTTCGCCGATAAGATAAAATCCATTCATGACAGTCACTTCTGTTGTAAAAAAATGGACAATGAAGAATGCAAATTTGTGAGATAAATTGATACATCTCTTATGAACAGTAAGGCTACCTCTGTTCGGATTCGATATGATCAACAGTCATAATTATGTTTAGATTAGGGTTCGATAAGGGAAGACAATAAGTAAATCGTCTAAATACTTAATACTAACACCAATTTCGAGTTACTTCTGAACCGCCAGACCCCATGTGTTAAAAACAAAAGACAGACCGATCCCATTTGATTAGACACTCGACCTTCATTAAATAAATACCACCCATCTCGGGAAATTTAAGCCAATAAATAACTAATTTAATTGGTTGGATAATTTCAGGCTTTGAAAACGTTTATTAGCATTATAATAAATATTCAGCCTTGGCCTGGTGGTTTAAATTTGTCCAGACAGGTTTAAGCCAGTAGAAGATCGTTTTAGCTGGTTTTAAGATTAGAAAAACTCAGTGGTATTTAAAAAGATTAGAATATACCTATTAGATCATAGGAGAAACAAAATATGGTTTCAGAGAAGTAAAAAAATCTCTCTTTCCAATTAAGTGACCAACTAAGCTGTATATTCATGAATATATAACAAACCGGTGAGAAAGCTACATAGCTATTTCGTGTCAGAAGTCAAAAAGTGGCCAATAACAAGGTAACATTAGGCATAACAAATAGGAATTAAAATCAGCCTATAAACAGGAATTTCGGATAATCACCATAATTAAATCACAAATTAAGATGTCAAAGTCAGGATCGGAAAGGCAGAATAGACGTCCATTACTCGTAAATCAGTGTAGAAATCTGCTGCACTCAGCATAAAAAACAAGATTCGAATATCCAAAACTAATGTGGGGTCAGTTAGTGCTTCCATATAGTTCAGACACTTGGTGTGCCACTAAAAGCATTCCAAACAGTTTGATGCAGACTTTTATCAACAGCTACCTTTACTGCATACCGAAGATAAGATGGCAAGCCGGAAAGGATCCACAATAAAGAACTTTGGTAATGAAGCTGTCAGTAACCTATCGATCAACAAATATGCCGAAAAAATGGAGGTAGATCGAACATCACTGGTTAATACTAAGCGCTAACCACACCATCGACTGGAACCCGGACGAGAAACGACGGGCTGGACTTGAGTCTTAGAGTAACATGGAAGAAAACCATGTGAATTCTGTCAGTCTGTTTTCAACATAGAACTTTGCACCAATGTGAAACAGTTCAAGTCGCCACACTCCATGTAACACACAAAGAAAGAGAAGAAAGTAGAAGAAATGTAAAATAGAGACAGTAGACAGGGATATGAGACAAAAGGAATAGTAGAAGAAAAGAACAAAACAGTTCCATTGGAAATTATAAGTCACAAGGAGTGGATGTATCTGCTCCATTGAGAAGGATTTTGAGCCATATCACCGATTGTCTCCAAACATTGGTTTTTACCGTCCTGAGTACCCTAAATAGCCAGGAAGTCTACACCTTCCTACGTGACTGGCTTAAACTAACTGTTGTGGACTTCATTGACTGGTGCCATGTTTTGGTTTGACCGCCGCTAGCTCTTTTCCAGCCTGACCCTATTTCAGCTAACATTGCCCGTCAAGGAAGGTGAATCATGTAAAGTGCAAATGGAAGCTTACGAACAGGATGAAATGAAGATATGCTCTTGAAGCCCTGTGCTCCACTTGGAACCTAAAGGAATAATAAGAATAATTTTCTTGATTAAATGATGACCATTACAAAGAGTGACAAAGGTTGAAAGTCGACTTGAACCTTTTGGATCGCATATACTTCAACTATGCCCAGATGTCCTAATTTCATTGTTTTTGAAAGGTTTGATCTGATCATGAATAATTTCTCAAGTTAAAGTGAATATCCTGAGTTCACAAGACTAAAGATACGCCTCCGTTCCCCCTTCCTTCCTTTTGTTAGGTAGGTTGGGTAGTGTTCACGAGTGCTAAACGTTTGCCATTGATCACATAATAATTATATGGTTATTTATTCCCTTTATCATTATTACTATTAATTACAGGGTAAAGAGATATCTAAATTAATGGATGTACATTCGGCTCAGTTAAATGAGCTTATTGAACAAATGCAAAAAGAGAAAATTCAAGCTATCAATGATATAAGATCATGTTACACAGAAACTGTACAAGAATTACAGAATAAACTAACGGTAAAGTATTCAGTATTATTATTTTCTATGATTGGTTTGTAAGGATTAGATTTGCTTTTACGAGTTGATCACGGATTGATATCACTTAGAGAACCACTGAAACCAGTAAGCAGTACTGGACAGCTGTTTCATCCTAGTTTGGGAATCATTGGCAGTACGCACCCATCACCGGGGTTCGAACCCAGGGCCTTCGGGTTACAAGGCAAGCTCGTATACTGTTCAGCCAGTGGGACCCAATTCAATGGCCAGCCCATGAATTCTAACTTCTACCAGTTCGTGGTTGGTATTCGAGCTTGCCTTGAAACCGAAAGGTCCTGGGTACGAACCCCAGTGGGTGCGTACTGCCGATGATTCCTAAACTAGGATGAAACAGCTGTCCAGTACTCCCTGGTTTTCAGTGGTTCTCTAACTATTATTATTTTGTCAATAACTACTACAGATATGAAGAATGTCTTTCAAATGATAATAAATTACAACCGCTACTGAACACATTAAATACCATTGTAATCTTTACAGCTTCAACAGACTGCTCTATGATCTATAGTCTTTATTGAAAAGTGTTCAAATAACATGCTAGACATCTTAATCAGTGTGTCAACAAGCTGTGATAAAATAACGTCACCTGACTGTTCATGGATATTTATGAACAGTTGGTTTAATTCCCTCCAATCTGAGTAGATGTTCTTTAAGTGTCTGAACTTAGAATTCATTCTCAATAGTTCACCCTCCTCCTGGATAAAATTTATTGAAGGAATTATGATTAAGTTACTGAATGGACTTTTTTTGTCATTGAAATAAGGTGAATTGGGTAATCGCATTCCTACTGGACTCATATTTGATGTCTTTATTAACATTTGATTTAATGTCCATTTAAGGGAGCCTGACTTTTGAAAATTCACCAGCCATTTTTGAATTTGCAGTGAAATATGCATATCACGAATAATAAATTTCGTAACACATAGTTGTACAGTTAGTATTCATAAAGATGTGTCACAGGTTATCAAGATTCTCTGATGTAATACCGATGACTCAGTACAGTTGATCTTCCAAATAACTCTGTCGACCTCTTCTCTGGTAAATGCAACGTTTAAATAATATATGATGCATTGTACTTAATTTATCTGTCTTTGTCAAACGGCAGTTTGACTGAAAAGAGCCTTTTTAATCTGAATATTTGAATCTATTGAGGATAAAAACTCTAACCTAGTGCCCACCGTTGCAAATGCGAAAGCGTTATCCACCATATATAACTTTATATCATGTGAATCTATCCTTCTAAAAGTATGTTTCTCTTCTGTACAGTGAAAGCAGTACCTTCTCAAAATATTTGTTAAAACTAATAGTTTCATCATGAGCCGACATTGTTTAGAGAACCACTGGAAACCTAGGAGTACTGGAGAGCTGTTTCGTCCTATTTTTGGGACTCTTCATCAGTACGAACCCACCGGGGTTCGAACCTAGGACCTTCTGGTTACAAGGCGAGCTCGTAGACCATCAAGCCACTGGGAACTGATCCAATGGCCCACTTGAATATCGATGAGATGCTTACTAGCGACTTACCCTATTCAGGTAGGTAGTTACCTGGGGTTCTAGTGAGAAGTCGTGACCAGTAGAGCGCAGCAGGTCGGGTTTGAGGACAAATACTCGCCGAAGACATTGGCTAGTGGTCACGCTATGTCGTGAATTGGAAGAAGTTAGAATTCATGGGCCAATGGCTTAATGGTCTACGAGCTCGCCTTGTAACCAGAAGGTTCTGGGTTCAAACCCCAGTGGGTGCGTACTGTGAAGAGTCCCAAACTAGGACGAAACAGCTGTCCAGTATTCCAAGGTTTCCAATGGTTCTTTAACCAGTGTCAGCTCATGATGAAATCCTGTAACCAATCAAATCCCTACAAACCAACACTTGAAAACTAATAATGTGCTTTAAAATAGATCACGCAATGATATAATTAAGGGAGCCATTGAAAGCCATCAAGAAGTACTGGATATCTGTTTCGTCTTTGTCTGTGACTCTGCAGTAGTGGGCATCCATGATCCCAACGGGGATCGAAACCAAGGGCTTCAGGTAACGAAGGGGGCGTACTGACCATTCAAACAATGGGACAGAAGAGTCCCGAATCGTTAAACTAGGACACAATAGCTGCCGATTTCTCTCTAGTTTACAATCGCTCTCTAAGTGAAGTCAGTTTATGATCTAATCTGAATTCTATTTAATCCCTTATAAACAACATTTGAAACTAGTAGGGAAAATACATTTTTTTCTTCTCAAAATAATTATAATCTCCATTCATTTTATAGGATAAACAAACAGAAATTCAGCGACTAAATGAAACTCTAACAATTACACAAAATCAATTACAAGAAAGTCGTAATCAAGAAACTCTAGAAAAGTTAAAAGTTCAAGCTGTTGCTGCACAATCAAAAGAATTAGCTGAATGGGAAAAAGAAAAATTTGAATTATGGAAAATTAAAATGAATGAATTAAAAGATGAAAAAGATGCCTGCATTGAAACAATGAAACATGAACTACAAGAAGAAAAAGATTTAGTTAAATGTTATCAAGATAAATTAAAAACTATTCAAAAGGTGTGTTCAGTTGTTTGCCTTAAAATGTTTTCACTTCAACTGTCTTCTCTTAAATGAACAGATATTTTTAGGAAATAAAAGGTTGGTGGATGAATAGAATAGCTGAGAGTTCCTTTGAAATAGAATTAATTACCAGCGTGTCACATAAGACATTTACAATAGGCGGCTGCAGACTTCCATCAGCAGCTGCCTTCGCTTACTCCATACTGAAGATCAGATGCCTGACCAACCAGAAAGGATAAGCAAAATGGATCTGTAGCACCTGATCAACTAAGAAGCCATTGCTCAACACATTCCTGAAATGGAATCCGAATGAGAAACAACGACTTAGGTGTGTGTCCAAGGATGACATCCTGGAGATCGTGTGAAGAGGAAATGAAAGCTTATGAGCAATGGTGGAGCCATCCAAGAAGGACTTCAGACAGCAAGATTAAATAGTGATGTGCGGGATTGTTAGGAGTGTTTTTCAGTCTACATGCACATATATTTCACAAACTGCATTACCGCATGCATTGTGAGAACAGCTTATTATGAAAACACCACCAGTGCTGGAATCGTATAGACGAAATTACACCTGGGTGACGAAAGCGTTCGAGAAGCCATTTTGGATACCTACTCAGATTTCAAAAGTGGCAGGAAGATGTAGCATAGAATTACTAGGAATCTCTGGCAGGAGATAAAATAGAAGTGAACTCTCGAAATTACTAACTGCGGAGACAACAATCTACTCTGATCGTCCAGAAAATAACCATGAACACACTGAAGAAGTGGCCATCATTATGTCATCAATAGCACCTAAGGCTCTTATGCAGTGAAAATCAGTCTCCTTCAAGATAATGATAAGCAAGATTCAACTCAAAAAGAAAGCTACAGCTATCTAGTGCTACACTCCAACAAACAGAGGAAAACAAGAAAAGAAGGAAGACTTTTACAGATAAATGCAAACAATAATGAACATGACCCAAGCCGAATGATGACATCAAAATCCTAATGGGTTATATGAATGCCAAACTAGAAGCAGAAAACACAAGAAAAGAATTCATTATGGGTCCAGCGAGATGTGCTCAGCGAAATGACTGAAAATGGAGAATTCTTCACAGACCTTAGTCCCTTAACTAACTTGATGACTGGAGGCGGCATGTACAAGCACAAAGATATACACAAAGCGTCATGTATTTTACCGACTGGTCACATCAGAATTGTGCTGCTGAAACCCTATTTTCCACTCGGAACTCAAAGTTGCATCACGTGAGTGAATTAAGCTGAATAAGTCAGTGTTTACCAAGGTATTAATTAATTAGTAACAGTCTCTTTACATTAAAGTGAACTGTATTCATCCTTTATTGAGAGTAAAGTCATATATACTCTTGGTAGTTTAATCAATTGCGTCGATTTTTGTTTCAATTTCCTAGGAGTTTGACATGTATCAAAATGAATCAGAAAGAAAAATAACCACTCTAACAAATCAGACAGAAACGTTAAAAATCAAGCATGAAATGGATACGAAGGAAATGCAACAATTTTACAATGAAGTAAGCACCAACTATTTTCCTTTGAGTGGAATGAGCTTGAGAGAAACCAGTGAATAATACCCTTTAAGACTTTTAGTTTTGAAACTGATATAACCGATAATAATAATAATAATGCTAGGATTTAGCTTCAATACTGAGATTTAATAGGCAACTCGACAGAAAGGTGAATATGTAACGACAGAAGGCAAGAGTCAGGCAACAGATCATTTATTAAGGAAATCAACGCATATTTATATATTTGCATGTACATTATTATGGATAGTTAAGCGAACAAACACAGTCTTCCGATTGGTTGTTTCTCACTTAAAATTAGTCTTTCATCTCTTTGTGACTGTCTCTTGAATGTCAAATCCTCTATATGTTAACTGCATCCGCCTACGCAAAGTCTGCTGTGGTCGGTTTTGAATCAATCTTTGTTCACATTTTCTCACGACAAATCTTGGGAACGTAAATATTGACGTAAATTACTGTCTACCAATTTGGCTAGTAGACAGCTCTCACCACAAATACAACTGTTCTCCGGGAAATACTTTATGTTGCTCTGAGCTCAGGGAAACGAGAATACAGGACTGGTCTAAGCCCGTGGGAACAATTACTTTACTAGATAAAAAATACATTACCAAATAACAAATATGACTGATCTTATAAGGTCGAGCATCAAGGGTTGTCTGATTAAATTTGGTAGAAACTTCTGTTTCAGAAGCCAGTGGCTTGAGTGGGTCTTAACCTGTAAACTAAAGTTATTTTAAGGCTAAGCAAAATTAGGGATATTACATATATGATATATGATAAATGAAACATGCATAATGATGATATTTATTTTATTTTGGTTGTCTTCAAACAAATCAGACAAATTGTCAAAATCTGAAAGTCTTTCTTGGTTGTGTTTTACATTTAAAAAGGCGCATAACATGAACACAAGTAATGCCTAGGAATGCTATTCATAGTATGCCAATTGTACTCAGAAACCACTGTCAGGCGACTATTTCGCAACTTATTTTCAATAATATGAACTGTAGGCATCAAAAGAAGTGATCTAACTCAGATTTCTTCATGATGAAAGTCAGTGAAGATGTAGAGGTGACAAATCTTCTACAGCTGACAAATCAACTCCAAAATAAGGTGAACTGATAAGAATTAGTCATGTTGACATAAAGGATTCAATAACTAAACCATAGTGATATGATCAATTTAAAATCATTTCTCTTGTTTTCGGATCTTTAGATACTAATGACTTACTTTTCATGAACAATTGGGTTTTTTCAACTTTCAGAATACGATGTTGATATGATTTCGCATAAAAAAATCGTCCAGTCAAGATTCTAGATTTGGGTCCGTGAGAAAATAAAACTACGAGTTAATGAAACGCTTTTAGTTAGCTTAAGAAGTTAGAGAGCTTTGCAAAACTGCTATAGTGAAAGATAAATACTTAGAATTGAAAGACAAAAGCTAACTTCCAAATCTTTGTTTGTATTGATTTTATGTATTTTAGACTAGATCGCTTATAAACATTAATTAGAGGATCGCCGAAAACTAGGCAATATTAGACAACCATTTCATCGTAGTTTGGTTGACTTCAGAAGCAAGCACCCATAACCCCACTGGAGACAGATTATAAGACTTTCAACTTACCCAACAATGGTTCGCAATGGAATGAAGCTCATGGAGTTCTAACTATAGCTCTTGACCAGTGAACTCCACTAAACTGAGTGTGACGACAGATGCTCATCAATGACACTGACTGGATGTGGTGCTATATATCGTGAACTGGAAGGAGCGAGAATTCACGGTCACCAGATTTCATACGAGGGACTAAATGGTCAACTTGACTCATTATCTGTAGCTGCTAGGTTCTATCCCAGTGCGTTCATGGATGCCAGCTGAGTCTCAAAACAGGATGAAATAATTTTCCCGTACTCCTTCACTTTCATCGGTTTTCCAACTGCATTCGTCTAGTCATATTCAACCTAAATATTCTATAGATTCTAAAAAAATATAATGGTCACAAAAAAGATGTATTATAAATATGTTACTCATAAGTAGCCAGAGTGAGTAAGATCAAAAAACGAGGTGTTGTAAACACTTGTTGATATCTCAGAATTTATCCAAATATATATATATATATATATATATATATATATATATATATGAATTCTTTATTGGATGCATGATCTATAACAGTGGATCAGTTCATTAATTAATATACTTTAGACACTATGCTAGTGTTAATAATCTAAAATGTCATTTTACAAGTGAAGATTATGATGCTTAGGGTGATGTCAAAGTAATTATGTAATTTATGTTGGTGACATATATAGTGTGGGATTCATCACGAACCGAAATCATTCAGAGAACTATTGAAAACTAAATACCACTGGATAACTGGCTCTTCTTAGTCTGGCACTCTTTAGCAATGCGCATTCAGTCAGTCACACATTATCGACATTGGATGTTGTTATTTAGGTAATCGCCTGGCATAATATTGTACCAAAGAAGTACAATAACTAAGTTTAGCAAATTCTCAACAAATATCCAGATTTCGCCAAGAGAATACTACCTTTTAGAAGTCTAAATCACTTCAAAATTGAGTTTGAAGGTGTTTAGAAAATTGATAGTTTAGTGGTCATATTGTCAGAAATTTGAATCATACAGAAAACACATAAAAGCTATAAACAAATACGCCATACTTTACTAATTAATTCCCCAGAGGCTACAGATCTCGAATTATTTCCCAACTAAGTTAGCTATGCGATAAAACTGCATTGAAAGGTATGTGAACAGTCATACCAGCTTGATTAAAATAGCTACAACTTTGTGTGTAGGAGACGTAAGTTTATCCACTCTTGTTCACCCTGACCTCCTGCGGAATCTATGAATTCATAAATACTGTATTGCATCATAGCTTTTAAATATGACCTTTCGTCCCTATATGTATAAATCCCCTCCAACCCTCATTTATGACCACACTTTTACAAATAAACTTTCCATTTTTCTTATTAATCCTCAGTTATTAGCTTACAAACTCACACATAAACACGTAAAACTTACTACTGTTTTTTCTCAACTTGTTTTTGATGTCATCATTCATCCATATGAAGATTACAATCAGTCTGGATAAAATTCATTGTGAACATTAATCACGAGTATTCATTTACTTTGTATTTTCCATTATTTGTGACCACTTAACTCTGAAATCTGATACTCAATTTAGTGCTAAATTTAGGTAATATTATCACACACGTATGTTTTGATTTGCAATCTATTAGCAACCTATTCTCATATTTTATCCATGACTAATTGGACTGGAATGTTTGACCTCTGTTGAAATGTCAGCTTCTAGTACGGACTCTTCAACGATGCTTGAGGATTAAACTGAAGTAATTTGGTAGATGGTGACTAGCAGTGGAATCAAGGATGCGCAATTTGTCCTATTTGGTACTGGTCAGCTGGATGTATCCGCATTGTCCAATGATGGGAACACCATCACTCACTGGGGAATGCAGGTGCATCTAGGTGACGAGTCCCGAATAGGACGAAATGCTCACCCTGGATTCCACTAATAGTCACCACCTACCAAATCTTTTTTATTCCCTCACGTTCCCAGTGGAACATAGGGCTTCAAGCTAGAGGCTTGAAGTTTTTGTAGCAGTGTTTATTTTTACAGAATGGGGTTACTAGCCTCATGCCTAACCTTTCCTCTTCACCAGCCTTTAGTTCTGGCTTAGCGAGGTAAAGGAGTGCGTCGGCCGGGGATCAAACCCCGAACCGTGTGCATGGTTGGCGAGCGTCCCAACCGCTATGCCACTGAAACACGCCTACCAAATTACCATTCTCATATTACTTCTAGAAACTCTGATGTCAATGATTCAATGTTATTTTAAAGGACATAAATGTTGTTAATACGAATTATTTTCTAACTTCAACATAGATTTATTCACGAATAAACATTAGTAGGAGATTAGAAAAACTGAGGAGCACTGGACAGATGCAAATGGTCAACGAATTCGGTCTCACAGCCTGAAGGTCCTGGGTTCGATCCCTGGTGGGGTCTTGGGTGTACACTTATGAAGAGTCCCAAACTAGGACAAAACAGCTGTCCAATGCTCCCTAGTTTCCAATGATCCCTCTAATTAATGTTGGTTCGTAACAAAAACTGCACGGTAGTTATCCTGAATCCACAGAAAATCCCACAATCTAAACATTCCCTAACTGTTATGAATATAGAACTGTAAAACCTGATGAAAAAGAAGCCATGGAAAAGGATATTCTTTACTGAATAATCAGTCTTTTGGAATAAATAAATAAATAATGGCCGACGCACTCTTAAACCTAACTTGGCCGGTAGTAAGGCCGATAAAAAGAGAAGGTTAGGTGTGAGGCTAGCAACCCCACTCCGTAATAACAAAACCATCCACTGCTAGTGAAACTTCAAACCTCATGACTGAAGCCCAATGTTCCACTTGGAAAGTAAATATCTTTCAACAGTTTATTTATTTACTTTTTTCACAAAATCTTTTTGTTTTAAATATTTAGAAAATCTCTAATATGGAAGTGAAACATACCAGAGAAATTCAACAAGCTATTGAGAATGAATTGGCAATTGTTCATAAGCAGATGCAAGACAAAAATCAAGCTGAAAAAGATAAACTTTTAGAAGAACTTACAACTTTATTTAGTCAAATTACATCAAAAGTTGGTAATCTAACCACGGATATTTATCAAACATTAATTATTCATATACAAAATTTATACAGTGCCTCTGATTTGACTTTCGAAGCAGATTTGGAAAAACAAGTTATGTAAGTTGACGTACTTTTCAATGTGATCATTCTCAGCCAGTCTGTTCCTCTACTTTCATAAAAGTTTTCCAAAACGAAATTCACTTCCTCCTTTATAAGTGAATCTTAACCAATAGTTAGGAAAATTGAGCTACTGTTTACAGACGATGAAAATTCTCATTGCTGCTTGTAACTCAAGTGCTAATTTACATTCTGAATGGAAACGAAGACGTCTACGATTAAATAGCAGAATGCTCACCAGTCAGGTACGTCGTCCGGGTTCGATTCAATACCGATACACTCTTGAACCACGCCTAGCTGGTAGTAAGCCCGAAAGTGCATGATGGTGAGGCGTCAGTGAAGCTAGACTAGAAACTCTGCCCTTTAAAAACACCCCTCCTGAAACTTCAGAAGCTCCCAATCACGATGCAAAGAAAAAAGAAAGATAGGAACACAAGCCTACACTGAACAGTTGCAATAATAACAGTAAAACTCTGTCCCGACAAAACTGGTACAACAGCAGACTAGTAGTCCTGAAATCCCTGGTTTGGATCCCGTCGTAACTTAGACATCCATTTCACCACCTATCACTGCATCAACTACCTATCAACGCATTTATATTACGGTGCCTTTTGCTCATTACAATAGTTAAACAACAACTGGTAAGATTCAGAATGTCCCTGAGCTAAATATACATTCAAATTCTAGTTCACTTGTGACCTCATATGTCTATCCAGACAGTCATTTGACAGGACTGATAACACCAGCATTAAACACGACTCCATTTATCGGGAAAATAATAAAATAAAGTAATCCATTTTTGTTTAACTTTTTACTCTTCTTCAAAGGTTAAGTAAAGAAATTGAATTACCCAACATGACAAGAAAATGGATTGTAAACAATACTTCTATTGAAGGGTTAATTGAATCGTTAACAAAATATTTGGACGAAATAATAAATAATTTACGCATGAATTCAACAAATATTTTAACACAAATTCAACTACGTAAAGAGGTGTATTTAACACGAATTAAAACTGAACTGGAAACTGCTCATAATGCAGCAAAGCGCATACAACAACAAGCTGAAAGTCAACATGATGAATATAAAGAAAAATTAAAGGTTTGTTTCTAAAGAGAGATTATATTCGTGTTCTTGTAAAATAATGAGACCTTTGATGTCAAGTTAGATCACTAACCAACGTCAGTTAGAATAGCTGTTTCTCCCTGGTTCGGAACTCATTATCAGTATTAACCAATAGCTCCACCGAAAATTGAATCCCAAACATTCTGGTCACGAGGCGAGGCCGTTTTCCATTTGGCCATCAAAACGAATACCAACCAAGACTACCGCCTAATAACCTGGATAGTCGAGTGTGTTGCGAGCATATTACCATACTCACAAGGCAGTAGTAACTGAGCCCAACTAATAAACTTTTTTTATATTCAGCATCTTTTCCCGATTCTTTAGTGATAAAAGCTAATCGACAAAATCCCATTCTAAAGACACAATGACAATAGTCCATGACTTAGGGAAGCTAAAAGCCCAGTATTTCGTAAATTTTAGTGTTAATGGCTTATATATCAGTATACTATTAAAATTTACTGTGGATTTTCGCCACATTCTAAGACATGATTTCCTAAATATTCCCGACCGAGTAAAGTTGTAACGACAGAGGACAAGGGCCAGACAACAGATCGTTTATTGAGAAAATCAAGTGATATTTATAGATTTTTATGTGCATTATTGTCAGCGGAGAAGAAGCGTCTTCTGATTGATTGTTTTCTTGCTGAAGATAATTCTATTATCTCTTTGTGGCCGTTTCTCAGAAAATCAAGCCATATATCTGCGAATCATATTTGCACACGTTGAGTCTGCTGTGATTGGCTGGTGAGCTCATCAAGGTTAAGCTTTGTTATTGTTTTTCTCATGACCCCGAATCAAGACTTGAACATTGACGTAAATTGTTGTCTACAATTTTTGGCTTGCAGCCAGCTCTCACCACAAAGTTATTACAAACTTCCTGTAGAACAATAGATAGACGCTTGAAACTCTATAAATAATGTTCATCTCATTGTGATCACTCATCCCTTTTCAAAGCGTATCATCGCTGTCTGCAGCTGCTTAACTTCTTAGAACGAGAGGCTTGATATCAGTTTAGTTCAATCTGGACTCCTGGGTGACTGTGAAGTAAATGCACTTCTCCAGCCCTCTAAAATCTCCGCATCATCTTCTGGCTAAAACACAACCTGGTTCTACCTCGACCGCCCATCGTCCCACTTACGCATGCTGTACCAAACGAAGCCCATATAAGACTCCTCTATAGTCCTACCGGCATTTTGGTTCTTGACACTTTGTTAAATCTTGTCCTATGCCGAGTGTGTAATAAATTGCATATATTTCTGAAGTGTTCGACTGTTTTTTCAGGTGATCTTTTAGCAAAAACACAATATTTTTAACTGGCCCGAAACCCGCGTTTATCATTTAATAGGATGTAGGAATGATTCCTCGTATACTTTGGTGATCGAATGCTTGCCAGCCAAGCACGTTGTCCGGGTTAAATTCCACACCGATGCACTTCTAAACACCCCTAAAAGAGGGAAGGTTGGGCATGAGGTTGGTAATTGTTCCATTAAGAAAAAATCCCATTCACATACACTAAGGTACGAAGTCAACCTGAAGGTAGACTCATTACTAACTCTTCAATATTCTAGCACTGACCATGTTATCACAGATAAAAATTTAAAACTAGAGAGTTTATGGATACAAATTATGTCAAACTTGTAAGCCAAATTCTCCTAACTATTTTAACTAGCATTATCGTGCCAGGATAGAAGAACTTGAAGATGATTCAACTAGAAGCAAACTAGTTGAACAATTAAAACTCAAAGAAGATGAGATTGAATGTTTAAGAAAAGAAATACAACAATTCAGACAAGAAATGAAACAAAAAGCAATTGAGAAAAGTCAAACAGATCATGGTGAAGTAATAGAAAGGTGAGTTTTGTATTCCTAATATCAACCAAATTACTCAGCATATTTTTAAGAAAAAATAGACTCAAAATAAATACATACATTGGTATGGAAGTTCAATTCAATAGAAATTCATGAATTAAGTAACTTGAGTGTAGGGAATAGTTTACTGCAATGGAATTTATATTTTCTTACATTCCTCGAGTTCTGAGTAGCATTGACGCCAAGTTTTAAAGTTTCAGTAGTGGTAGTGTTGCTTTTCAAGCGGTAGGATTGCTAGCTTCACGCCTAACTTCACCTTTTTTACTGGTAGACTACCGACTAGGTGAGGTTTAGGAGTTCGTCAAAAGAAAATCAAACCTGGACCAAGCGTTTTCAGGTGGGTATTCAACCAATGAACTACAGACGTACAAGAAATTAATTAGTTTGATATTGAATAAAGCAAGAACAACAGTTTATGCACAATAAGATGGTACCATCATTTATTTCATTGGCTTTTTATCAGCTGCGTACAACCTAAAGATATTATGAATTTTATGTACAGAACAGTTTTAACATACTTGCAAATGTTGCATAATGTCAGTTGACAGGAGGCTCCAAACTTAGTGAACAGTGCTCAGAAAATTACACTTAAATAGTTTTTACCCAGAGAGTTCAAGTTTAAACAGAAATCAGTGTATGCATACAATGATAAAGCAGTTACGTAATAAAGACAAGAGGTGAGTAATATGATGAGTAAGTATCACATTGAGTAACATTGTGGTGAGTTCAACTCAAATCATAGAAATAAGAGACAAGCAAGATTACACTATATCAATTGGGAAAAGGTAAAAGCCAAAAATTACGTTATCACGTGAAAGAGAGGGTAAAGAAATCCAGTTACCAGTGCAAGAAAAGACTGATAACTGCTTCTTTCTGAACACGAAACGGGATTCAAGCGTTTGATTGCAATTGCCTTGGCAAACTTCAGAAGAGTTTAACTCTATTGTCCATTGATAATTTAAAGATTTCATGGTGTCCATTTCATGACGAGATGCCTGTCAGTGACACTACTGAAAGTGCTTGCCCCCTTGAGACGTACGCTTTTTGGTATATGTTCAGAAAATCGAAGGTGTTTCCGTCTTTCTGTTCTCCCAGTGTAAGTGTTCCTGCAGATACATCTAAATGTTTATACATAGAGTTAGCACGAGAAGGGTATCTGTCGACTTTTGATTGCACGAAAGAGCATGTTGTCCTACAAACAGGAACCAGCCGAGCTGCAGGATAGGTTCTGGCCATTGAAGCACTCAGTCTTCTGTTGAATACTCCTGCAATATTATCACCTTTGAAATTGAGTTGAATGAAGATAGGCTATTTTCCCGCTGTGATTTCTTTGACATTTGAGCCTTCAAATCTTCCGTATTTGTTGTTAATGAATTTCTGAGGGTACTCGTTATTTTCCAGAATCTTTTCGAGAATCGGAAATTCTTCCTCTAATTTTTTTCTGTACAACATATTCTCCTGACTCTATAAAAGAGTTTTGACCAATGCTCATTTGTAGCTATTTGAACAAAAACTATTGTTCATTCGATGTAGACTTTCAGTTCAATGATCTCTAGAGACTACCATCTTCTAGGCGTTGTATGGTGATGTCAAGGAAATGGAACTTTCCAGCCGTACGCAGCTGATTAGAAGCCAAAAAAATAAATGATAGTACCATCTTATTGTGCACAAACTGTTGTTCTTGCCCTATTCAAATAAATAATGGGGAATTAGTGTATGTAGTTTGATATTATCAAACATATTTTATTACCAGATTCAGTCTACATCTAACTGAATAATGTCTATTTAGTAGAGGCTTGGATTTCGATTTAGGGATTTCATTTCATCCCATTCACGATTAATTAACTAAATTTAACTGCACCGTATATTTTGCGGATTTCCTTATTGAGACCTGAAGCTATCAGTCAAGTTTTAGGTAGAACAGTGTGCATATACTGAATTCCACTGATAGCTACCAGCAAATCAGTCACAAAAGGAACTCTGAGTAATAAAAAAGTCAACACTTGAAAGTATTTTCAGTATTTTCTACAGAAATTCCCTTTTGGAAAACCTCTACTAATAATTCAATATATAATGTGGAAGCAAATATTTTCGCTTTCACATTTGATTAGGTAGTTTCTTTCGGAAAATATAGTGTTTAGTTAAGCAGTCTTCTAGAGGCGTAATAACGGACGAAGAAATGATGTTGTTTTACGTATCTTTTTGTGCACCACACATCCATATACAGGTACTACTGACTATCACCGTTTTAGTCAATTGGTTAGGTTAAAGGGAAGCTGTCCTGTTACGTCCGATTGTGAATGTACAATCTCTAGTCAGTTAACAGTGTATAGCAGCAAATAATTCCTTGAAACTATTAGCCAACAGCTTTAAAAGTTCGGTGCTGACCTTCACCTTTTAAGTTGACTGGTTAAGCTGAAGGTATGCGGTTGAGCATCCTAACCATTTGACACTCGGTCGTGTTACGCTTGGTTGTTCTTGCACGCAGTCTGTGTAGCGAAGTAGACGTCACCGATCCACATTCAAGATCCTGAATCTTGTCTTAAGTTACACTGAATTAATACTATCAATAGGTAATCACATTTCAAAAGCATCAGTAAGAGAGATTAAGTTCAACTCATATGACATTTAACTAAATATCAGGTAAATTAAGAGGAATAAGAGGGAATTTAAGGATTTATAGGTTTGACAGCAAGCCAAGGTAGCAACAGTGACTTGCTAGACCTGTTTCTTTTGCATGCAGAGCTCTGGTTGATTGAAGCGAATTGCGATGGTCTCTGCTATTTGAAGTGATCGCCATCTAGAGACCTTTAGAAATTTATTCCATACCTGAGAGATGATAGAGAAAGACTTTTCAATGCTGGCTTTGTGACCTGCTTGAATGAGGTGATCCAGTGTAGAACTGTTGATGGTTTTAACAACACTTTTATTTAGCCACACAGTTAGGCGTTCTTGAGAACGAAAAATTAGGTTCCTAAAGCAATAGTCAATAAAAGTGGCTCCATAGGAGCAGCTAAATTGATAGATACAATTGGAAGTGGCTAACCTGAGTACCTTATCTTTCGCTGCTGAAATCACAACCGGTTGCGGAGAAAATATAAGCTGCAGATTACCTGCATTACCGGTTAGTTGAATTGATCCCAACTTTTCGACTCTTTAGTTAATATGGTCATATAAATGTAGAACCTGCTGACGAATTTACCGAAAAGAATATTCTTTATTGATTAATTAGTCTTTTAATTTACTTTGTTTAATGCAATCTAATGACTTCTAATTACTTCTGAGTAAAGATCCTATATTTTGGGAGAGAATGACAGTGTTGACAGTTTGTAAAACAAATTGTCCATTCTTAAGAAACCATGCAGTCCACACACCCAGGTTACACTTTTCTTTGTCCTCACCGTGTTACAAATTTGACTGGTATGTACGTGTATTGCGATTCCTGTTGATATGAGTTTTATATACAAGATCAATGAAGCTAAGAGGAAGAAAGCGTTCTAATTTCCTGAAATATAATTACCAGACTGTAAACTCCAGTGTGTGAGTATCAATAAAAGCGTGACGTAATATCGAGCATTTAATTCGCTTGTATCCTTTAGTATAGCAGGATATTAAGTGAATCTAATGAATATTTTCTTCAAAAGAAAAGTTTCCTTTCCCTTCATTCCTTGAGTTTCGTATAGAAACTAGGACTTCAAGATGTGAAATCTCAGTAGGTGTGCTGTTGCTTTATATGGGGTAGGATTGCTAGACTCAAGCTAAATCTCCCCTCTGTCATGGGATTATTACCGACTAGTAAATTAGATAAAGTTTAAGAGTGAGTCGAGCGGGAATGAGAATGGGACCTCCTGAGGAGTTGTCGAGCATTTTCTCATTGAATCACCAAAGCACAATGTGAGTACTGCTAATTCTTTTCCGCTTCAATCATGGAAGTTATGTGAAACGAATGCCAATGAACTCATCTATCTTTGTAACAAACTGCCCACTAAACAGATTGAACTCTATCAGTCAAGTTTGCAGTGTGAACAGAATGCTAGGTGGCTCGCCATCACGGTGCACTCTAACGTGTCATTAGATCATTGTAAACCTGACTGATAAAATTCAGTCTACACCAATACCAAGGCCTAGACTCATGACATTAGCTACCAACTAGTATCCAGTCAAAGTATCCATTACAGTTCTACAGGAGGTCGACTGACAGCGCGAAAATCTCAGCAGTAATGTCTCTGACTGAAGCAATCGGTAACCAGGGTTCGAAACTCAGAAGGGATATGAATACCTAAGTGACTGCTGATACACGTAGCTGACAGGCGCCAAAAAGCACGAAACCTAGGTCCAAGTCTTCTAGCCCATCACTTCCAACCAACCAAAGACGATCTATTAGTGTATATTTCACAGTATAATTTATATAACAAAATGTATGAAGGAAGCCAGTAAAAGTAAATAAGCAGGTTTTGCTTTAAATAATTTTGCTTACATTCATTCATTCTTCTACAAATATACAATCAAGTGTCAGAAAAATTATATTATTCTCATCCCCTATTCATCATCAACGATCGTTTTCATTGAATATTAATAATAATAATAATCATAACCATAAACTTGGTTCATCTAATTTGGTCAGTCAACAACCTATTCGTATAATTGCTGAACTGAAAGCACGTATTCAACGGTTAAGAGAAGAGAATATGGCATTAAGACGGCTATTGTTAAGACGACCATTATTACCTGTGAAACAATCTGATCAAGAGAGTGGAAGACCACCGATTTGTGTAAGTTTTCATTCTTTTCTCCTTTTTTTTGCTTTTACTTTTAATGTTAATTTAAAAAGTTGACAAAGTCAATGTACAAAACAAGACATTTAATCCACTTATGAGGATGCAGTTATTTACTAGTATTTTCTATAAGATTAATCTTCCCTAAAATCATGTATAGTACTCATTTCCAGATAGTTGGGTGTATCATGAAGTCTGAGTACTTCTGTAGTAATTTTCATTATTCTTTTGCATTCCTAGTGGAAAATAAGGCTCCAAGCATCCTCTGTGAAGTCTCAGTAGCGATGAATTTTCTTCTACAGCATGAGTGTGGTAGACTCATGCCCAGCCATTCCTCTTTTCCGGACTTACTAACCAGTTAAGTGAGGTTTAAGTGTACGCTGGCTGGGAATCGAACCTGGAGAACGTGAGTGGTTGGTGAACCACTGACGCACAAATTAGAAATACAATCATAATATTTCAAGCACATGAACTGATCACGAATTAATAATCATTACTATTGTCTCCTTTATTTCCTAGAGGGACATAGGGCTTCAGACGCACGTCTCCATTGCGTTCATTTCTTCTGTGCAAACATTTTCACCTGGCTCTACGTCTGCCCACATGCTTTCATCGCCTCTTCACATGACCTCTTCCATGTCACCCTCGGAATGACGACCAACTCGCCGCTTCCCGTTCGGGTTTCACTAGAGAGCCTGGCGTGTGATGTCACTTGATGGATTGTTTTCTCAGAGTATGGCTAATCCACCTCCATTTCTTCCTGCATATTTGTTGCACAATTGGTTCCTGCTGGGTTGGTTCTCTACCAGAGATCCCTCCCTGTTGCTGATCTTTTCTGGCCGGCCATATGATCTTGAGTAGCATTGGGCGAAGACAGCTGTTGATGAAGGTCTGTAGTTTATTCGAAGTGCCCTTCATGACGCGCCAATTCTCTGATCCATATGGCAAGTAGCACTGACTTCACATTGGAGTTGAAAATCCGGATCTTACTTTTCATGCTGAGTACTGTTGATCTCCACACAGACTTGAGAGAAATGAAAGCTTGCCTTGCTTTCCCGATCCTCGCCTTGATATCCTCATCAGTTCCGTCCGCCTGTAGTTGAAACGATGCTTCCTAGGTTGGTAGATAGAAGAGGTTGCTTCTGATCGTTGTCTGTCGTTCTTGCTGTTGCTGTTGGCCAGGAATCTTCATCACCTCTGTTTTCTCTATGTTCACCTGAAGCCCTATCTTCTCCGGATACTTCTTCTGCCAACTTGTTGCTTTCCACTTGCATATCTTCCAGTTTGTGGGAAATCAGACATATGTATGTCATCGGCGAAGTTCAGTTCCTCCAAGTTTTTTGTGGGTCCATTTTATGCCTGTTTCCTAGCTGCCCGCTAACTGTCTGTCGCATTATCCAGTCTACCGCAATCAGGAAAATCATTGGAGTTAGTAGGCATCCAGCTTGTCTTACTCCCGTCTTCAATTCGAAAGATTCCGTGAGTTACTTGGCATGCAGCATTATCGTACAGTTGTTGAATGAGGTGTATGATTGTTGGTGGCACCCCGTAGTAGCGAAGTAGTTTCCAGATCACCTCTCGATCGACGCTGTCGAAGGCCTTTTCAAAGTCAATGAAGCTGAGGTAGAGAGATGACTACCATTCAAAGCTCTGTTAAGTGATGATCCGTAGTGTTGCGATTTGATCGATGCATGACTTGTTTCTCCTGAATCCAGTCTGTTTCAGTCGAAGTTTTTCACCCAGCGCTTGTTTGATTCTCTCCAGGATTATATGGCTTAGTATTTTGCTTGGGATGGACAGGAGCATATTTCCGCGCCAGTTCTTGCATTGACTTAAGTCTCCTTTCTTTGGCAGTTTGAATAAGTAGCCTTTCTTACAGTCTGCAGTTACCTCGCCTTCTTTCAACACCTTCAGTAGTGGTGTAATCAAGTCCGCTGATGTCTCTGGGTCCATTTTCAATGCTTCTGCCGGGATTCCGTCTGGTCCTGCCGCTTTTCCAATTTTTAACATCTTTATTGCCTTCAGGATTTCTTTTTTCGTCAGATGGTTGATGACCACTGGTATTCCTGCCTCCGCTGTTGGCATTATTGGGCGCGTTGTAGGTGGAGGTCGATTTAAAAGTCCTTTGAAGTGTTCAACCCAGTGTTCCATTTGCTCCACCTCTCTGGTGACTGACTTCTGTTGTCATCATTCATTGGCTTAATTTGTGTTGATCTCTTCTCCGATAAGAAACTAGTTGTTTGGTAGATTGTTGCGAGGTCTCCTTTGCCTGCAGCTTGTTCTGCTTCACGTGTTCACTTGTGAAATCAATTCAACTCACTGACCAGTGCTAAGAAGTTTGAAATTTAGGCTAATAGAGTTTTTTTTCAATGACCCACAAAACTAAACTCCATATTCAATGTGTATAATGATACGTTTTACACCCCAATAGAAACATTTTATTTCACACTTACTGAAGTTAAACTAGTACTGAAGAAAGTGGGGACATAATACCGACCGATAGCTAACTAATAAGCAGTTGGTTAACAAAGGGTTAGATATGAAAGTTATATTATTCTTACCATCACACTGGTATAAATCGTCCACCAGCTACATGAAAATAAAAGGACTCATCAGAAAAGAAGCATTCACTTCCGCTGAAATCCACACAGAGAGGATATGAATTATGCTTCACATTCACCTTTACAAACAAATGTAATGATAGATCACGTGGCCTGATCGATAGCTGGTACCTCGGCGTGTTGGTCAGCCTTGCATTTCGCAATGATCCAAAGAGCTATGTCGGCTAAAGCTAATTTTCCTGCAGGTCCCACCATCCCATAGAGGTTATTTAGATAAACAGCAGTTACCATCATAGTGTAGGTAGTTCACGCTACTGCTGGGGCGAAGTTGTACTGCTGGCGAATAGGAATGTCACAGCAGTAAGATGTTTCCGTCAGATGACCAACAAGCCAGCTATGCTACTTCTCCACTCTGTGAAGTTAGGGGTAAGAAAGATTGATCCCGACTAACCTTCTACCGGTCCGTAGCTGGCAGTAAAGTCTTAAAACGGCTGTGTGGCCGACCTCAAGCAGTTGTCTCTTGGGCTTTACGGTCACTTAGTATTATTAATTTTTTCATTTCAGCTACTCCAAGGAATTAGTCAGTCAGATCACACGGGGAAAGATGGGTAAGATAATTATGATCACATTTGGTAGGAGGATTTCATCATGAGCTGACGTCAGTTAAAGAACCATCGGAAAACCTGGGAGCGCTGGACAGCTCGCCCTGTAACCAGAAGGTCCTGGGTTCGAAACCCGGTGGGTGATGAAGGGTCCCAAATTAGGGCGAAACAGCTGTCCAGTACTCCCAGGTTTTCCAATGGTTCTCTAACTGATGTCAGCTCATGATGAAATCCTACAACCAATCAAACAAAAAATCAATACTTGAAAATATGATCACATTATATTCTAGACTTTGACAAATATTCTTCTTTATATTTTAGCGACTACCCTCTGGTGTACAATTTTCATCGAAATTAAAAAGTAAGGAGGATTCAACAAACATTCTATCCAAAAGCTTTAATCTTTCACAGACTTAACACATAAACAATAAAAAATATGATCTATGTATTACGTATTCCTACATTTCTGTAATTTTGTGACTTTCACTCAAAATTAATTACATCTGTCAATATTACTTATTTCTTGGTAATAAAAACCAATGTTAAAATCTCAGAGTTCTGGTCAACTTTTGAAAGGCTGAAGGGAACATTATTTTGTCTACCAGGATGATATTTTTAACTGAATCGACAGAATCATGTGTCCTGGAGATCTCGCCCGCTTTCACTCCACCTGGGGTGTTTCTGCATTAGGTATTCAATAAATGTTGGAAACCTCTCGTTGACAGATAGATCTAGAGAGCAGCTCGGTGCAACGAATCAAATGCACTTTTACTAGCTGAAGTCTTTATTTAGGGGAGGAATAACTAAACGTGTATCTGAGGTTAACAATAAGACTCATCCTTAGCAAATGCCATCGGATCTCCACTGCTTCATTCAAAATGATAGACGCAAGAAGACTGATTCCAGAACACCAAAGAGATGGAGAAGGCAACGGCAGTAGGTAACACCAAACAACTACTTACACTCATTAGGGGAACTGAATTCAGTTAATTATTAATAGGTGAAACGAGTCCCGAGAAAAATGGTGCTCTAATTACCTCTCAAGATGAACCGCTGGAACATTGAAGGGATCACTTTGAGGAGTGATACAGCTGGCCCACAGTCACACTAAATTCTTCCTGCATTCAACACCTACCTGAATGGAAAAGAAACATCGGTCCCCCGACTGAAACTAAGGTTGCAAAAGCTGTCTCTAATTTGAAACGAGGTAAAGCAGCATGACCTGATGGAATGATTCCACAGGTTTTGAATAATGGTGACGATGAACTACGGACTGGTTTGACTGAAATATTAGGTCATATCTGGGAATCTGAGACAGGTGTAAATCATTGATTATACCAGTTTCTAAAGAGACAATCATAGGGGATTAGCTTGACTAACATAATATCTAAAATTCTAGATTTAATCATGCGTAGACTAAACAGTGCTCGGAATAAACAAACTCGTGAAAAACAGGTAGGCTTTAGTTCAGAATGAGGGTACATTAATCAAAGCTTCACCTCTAGACTTATTTTAGAACACAGCCATAATTGCCGGTGTCCAACATTTAACATATTCCTTTATCTTAAGGAGGCATTTCACTCTGTCAACCGAGAAATACTGTGATGCATGCCGTCGAAGGGAGTGTCACACTGATCAAGGCACTGTACTCTAACTCCCGCAGCTGTTTTAAGGCTTATGGGGGATTGTCATCTGAGGTGGTGCCCGTCTGGAATGCTCTTTGTCCCCATTTCTGTTTAATTCAACCATAGGTGCACTGATGGATGTAACTATAATTAACTTTAGCGACTTAAGGGGTTGATTTATCACCAAGGAACCATCTTATCGACTTACAATGTACCGATGATATTGTCCTCCCAAATTCAGACGCTGAGAAAACGTAATTTTTGACAGCCTTCAGCATACGATTAGCCTACAGCACCATAAATTACAGTGTGCTATGATCAGTTAATATCGACTCAACAGATGAAGGGGAGGTCTGAAACGCACTCAATTACCATAAGGCACCAGTCTGAGACATCATAGCCTCTGCTCTTTTTAAAGATTTTGGTGAAACTACAATCAAGAAACTGAATAGACCGCTCAGAAAAGTATAGAAAAGTGAGAATGTTCCATCAATATGGAAAGAAGCTGCTATCTAGCCTATCTTCAAAAAAGGCCAACGTAGCTTAAGTGACAGTCATTAGAGTATTAGTCTGTTACCAGGTGCACTAAAATATTGGCTGAAGGAGACAAAAGCTGCATCCCCGTGGTTCCCGAAAACCAAAACGAATTCACACACACCACTGGATCCTTTCAGATCCTGAAGCCCATGCGCACCACATGTTTGGAATCAAGATACTCCAGCTCCCTCAGGTGGACCTCCATCTTCACCAGTCCGACGATAAATACCGAAAACTCATACATTCGATTACCCGTTGATATATCTGGACAGAATTCATCGGCTTCATATCGGCAAATAGGCTCCTTTAACAGATATCATCACAGATTACTCATTCGAAGTTACTTATTTGCTGATGGGTAGGTAGTGCTGGGTTCGAGTCTCAGTTGTGCACGCTACCACTTACAGGGGATGCAGGTACATCCGGCCAACGAGTAACGAATACGACGAAACACATAAGCCATCACCACACTAGTTGTGTTGCACTAAGTTCAACAAAGATTTTGTGTCATAAAATAGACTAGATTATATGATAATCACTGTGATGCATATAACTGTACCCTCACTTGTTTGATTCCTATTTGTTCCAGAGAGTGTAAAATCTACCCACCTTTCAATCAGTATTTTGAGTTTATATTCTTAGCAGTTATTCTCTGTATTAGACTTTAGCCTTTGTCTAACATGTAAAACGATCATCGCAACAGATATGTAGCCTTTCTGCATAACTCCACTTCTTCTTTTCAAAAAATTAGAAATCAATAAGAAACTATAATTTAATTTGTAGAATATATCTGTACAAAAAGAAGGGAAATATTCACAGATCGCTTCTATACACACACACACACACACATGATGATGATGATAAGTGTCCAGGTAGAATAATATTACAAAAGAAATGTACAGTTGTAGTCGGCATCAAAATTATAAACCATATTCTGCGAGCATATTACGTTTGGCTAAATCTGAGGGTTTTGTAAATTTCCCAGTTTTCCTCTTTGAAGGCTGTCCGTCAAATGACAAAGCTGCTGAATACCTATTCATCATTGAGAAAAAATGCAATAGGAAAGTAACAAATTAAGTATTGATTAGTAGAAGCGAAAGTGTTCTATTCTAAATGAGCAATACAATATTTTAATGCAAATTCCACTCTACCAGGTAAGTGCTATTCACTGGCTTCACGCAGCAGCGAATGCAAACGTGTGACGCACACAACCAGACTGGTAGACATACTGGTTTACTGAGGCGAGGGGAGCAGCAAAACCCTATGGCTCCGAATGGATCGAGTGGCGCATGAACCTGCTCTGGTCATCGGAAACCATGGGAGCACAGCTGTTGGCACTTCTCCACTGCTTTGGGCGTCAGACTTCAAATCTACGACTCGGAAGGTAGCTCCTTAAAACAACCTCTAGCTTCAGTCTGGACGTCCAAGCAGTATCACAGCCCTCACACAAACTACAAGTGAATCATAGATGATGAATGCTACTACTTATACCATCATATTTGATTTCTATATGTTACTTCATAGTTAATATGTGCTAGTACGAATTTGTCGCCAAACTCCAAAACAAGTGGAATAGAGCAATACATTAAACACTTGTTAAAGTAAATATTAATGTTGTATTCAGGACATTCTCTAGGGAATTCGAAGCTGTTGCAGACCTGGTTGGAGTGCAGGAGCAGAGGGCTGGTCGTTTTGAATACTCTGCTGAGAGGTCGTATGAAGGTTGCCTACAACGATGCCCGGGAGGTTGAAGGTGAGGCGGTGTGGGACAAGGTTATCTAGAGGCTCGTGTTAGAGTTCGACAACCTCACAGATAGATAAGGGGAGTCGCAGAAGTTCCAGACTCTGAGGCTTGGTCGGGACGGCGATCCGTTGGTTCTCACAGTAACGCTGACAAGTCTTCTGCGACGCGCATTACCTACCTTGGACGAAGATTCGCAGGGGAAGTTGCTAGCTTCCCAGTTCATCGAATGTCCCCCTACCGTCTGAACCGCTAATGCAGACGCCCTTATTTCCTTACAGTAGTACTATTTACTGCACGAAGCCTATTATCGTTCATTTCTTGATTTCCAAGTGGAATATCTCCATTGCATTCAGTTCTCTGCCATCGCCTCCAGCTGCCTCCATTACAACTAACAAGTTTTCATTGCCTCATTAAATGATCTCCTCTATGTCATCCGCAGACCCACACCTAACTCGTCGCTTACTATTCGAGTCCCACTCGTGTGTTTGGGCATAAGATATAATACTCAACAGTATCCTCATCCAATCCATCTCTATTTCCTGCTGCATATTGTTGGACAATAAGTTATTAGGGATCCTGCTTGAAGCTTATGGGACTTCAGTACTGATAATTATATCAACCAACGCTCTGCCCCCATCTTTATCTGCAGTGATGCTAGTTGTTTATTGTTGTCTCCACCAATGACCACCAACACACACCTACCTAAATGATTTGTTAGAACTTAGTTGTGTGCAGAAGAAATTGTTTACATACCATTCCTCATATGACTCACATGTTACCGTATGAAGGCTAGTCATACTACCCGAATGTCCACATAGAAGTAGATGTGGTTAGGTTCAAACCCAGGACATAGTGGCCGAAAACCGAGTGCTTAACCCAATTTGACCATATCCCCATTAGTCTACCTGATTAACATAATCTATGGTGAATGATTGTAAAATAGTTATTATCAGCACAGGTTTCATCACAGACCGAACTCAACTATAGAACTATTGAAAATCAGGAAGCGCTAATCCAGGACTCTTTAGAATTTTTAATCCATGACCTCAGCCAGGATACAACCTTGAGTCCTCAGATTACGAGACAAGCATGCTACCACTTATTTGGCTTGTCAGTCCTAACCTCCATCAATTAGAAACAGAACGCTATTACCATTCAGCGTCATCGACGACTATCTGTCCCCACGGGTTGTTACATAATGAACTCAACCGACCATAACTATTAAATAGAAACTTGAGGAGATTCACCTAGAAATTAATCGCATTAATAAATCATTCAAATGTATGATACTATTTTAAGGCCACTTCTTAACCTCATCGATATCAACAGACAGATACAGTAATACGAATCACAATAACTTACTTCGATCTTTGTGGATCTGTTACACCTGCATCATCATTCTCATCAACATCATCATCATCACCACGTTTCCGTTTCCATCCTGTAGGATGATTTTGTTTATCAGATTTTATAAAACGACCTCTAACTCGAGCAGCTACATCAGATGGTGTTTTCTGTAAACAGAATGCACGAGCCACATGACCTAAGTGAAGACGTTTAAAAGTGAATATAGGTCGTAATTCTCCAGAGAAACTTGCATAAGATCGTAGAAATGATATGTAGGCCAATTCAGAAAGGGAATTTAAAGTGTCATCATTGTCAACAGCTTCAAGAAACAAGTGGAAAAGTCGACTAGTTCCTTCTTCAACAGTTTTACATTCATCCGGCTAAACAAAATGCAAAGGTTCATTGTAATATATGTGAAGAACAAAAGATAGTCTATTAATAGTACATAAAAATAACTACTATATAAATTGGTTGTCTTTCTGTTTCAGAAGTTAAAAAAATTCCTAAAGGAAATGGAAAAATGATAAAGGAATCTTGAAAAAAGAGTGAGGCAACAAGCAGTATATGTTATCATTTTTCCTTTGAATGCATCATGAGTAGACTTTAAATTTGTCCAACAAAACGACTTAACCACTACTTACCTTTTCATGAAATTTAACTGAAACATAAGTGCCTCGTACACTTAAGATTGCTTAGTTACGAATAACTAACTTAGAAGTCGTTTACAATCAGTATATCATGAATTCAAATACAGCCTATCACCGTAACTTAACTGGCTGGCTGGCTGGCTGGATTCAACATAGAACTTGGCACCGAAGTGCAGCACTTCGAGTTGCCACGTTCCAAATAGCACACAAAGGTAGACAAGAAAATGAGTGAAGAGAATCAATAGAGTTTTGACAAGCATAAGAGTGAAACACAATGAGTAATGGTAGAAAGGAATATGAAAGATTACAGAGATTGAATACATCTGCGTAAGCCATTGACAACGATTTTGAGCCATGTCACCTATTGTCTCCAGCCACTGATTCTTAGAGTCCCGAGGGCGGGCCCCAACCTGGAAGTCTGCATCTCCCTCCCTACCTGACTCAGTTTAACCGTCAAGGATTTCATGGACTGATGCCATGTTTTTGTTTGGCCACCACTTACTCTTTTCCAACCTGCACCTATATCAGCTAGTAATGCCCGTCGGGGGAGACGATGGTTAGGAATGCGCAGCACGTGACCTAACCATCTCAATCTATGTAACTTTATAGCCTCTTCGAGTGATTTTCCCTCTTTGCCCAACACTCTACGCCTAACGTCAACATTACTTACCTTATTATACCACCTAACGCGAGAAAGAGATCGTAAACATCTGTGGTCAAAAACAGACAATCTCTTCATGTCTTCCGCTCTCAATGGCCACGTCTCACCACCATAGAGAAGGACGGAGCGAACTGCTGAGCAGTATACACGTCCCTTGGTTGACAGTCGGATGTCACGCCTACGCCAGAGACGGTGTAAGTTAGCGAAATCAGCCTGAGCTTTCTGGATCCGTGCTGTGATTTCGTCACCAATCAATCCGTTGGCGCTGATACAACTTCCCAAATAGGTGAAGTGGTCAACATGTTCTATCACTTCACTCCCTATCACGAAGCTTGGAGTTGACGTAGTCCAGTCCTGTAGCAGCATCTTACATTTTACAGGGGCGAATCGCATGCCGAACATACAAAGATTGCTGCTCAAGGTGTTCAGAAGACTCTGCATTTTGTCCGTAACTTAACAGTAAGCATTAACATAGTTTGATGATACTGGACCGAAGAGCTCAGTCTCTGGTGACATGTTACCTCCTAGTACATACAAACGTCTCAACGATGTCTGCAGATTAACATGACCATATTTGTTTGACGGTAGCTAACAGTGGAATCCAGGATACGCATTCCATCCTATTACGAACTCATTAGCTGAATGTGCCATGCATCTCAGTGACTGATGATGTCCCCACTGATACTCAGGACACCAGCACCAATCGATTCAAACACCAAAGCGTTACTGATTAGCCTACTGTGAGTCAGTAGTTTCATGATCGAATGTTTACCCAGCCATGGACGCCACCCGACTTCGATTCCCAACTGACGCACTTCTAAATCTAGCCTTGCTTATTAGCCTATGGTAAGCAGAGAAATGAGGCGAGGTTGGGTGTAGGGCTAGTAACTCCATCCTGTAAAAACAGTACCACGGTTACTGAAGCTTCAAAACCCGAAAACTCTATCTTCCATTCGGAACGTGAAAACATGAAGAAAAATATCATCAGAGCATAAAAACTGTATATATTTTCTCAGTTATACTTGTTTAGTAAGCATCACCCGTCAACCGACACATGGAGTATGAACGTAGAATGAAGGGTAGTGTTCATGAAGCATATTGGAGTTCTCATAATCGTCCTTTTGATAGGACCCTTGATGTTATCTCAACAAATCACGAAAAATACCCATTTATTCATAAGTAAAAACACAGTTTTTGTTCAGCGAAGAAATTTCTTTTCAACGACTTCATTTTCAAGCTGTACAGTCGTATTTATATTACAGAAAAGGTCATTAAGTGGCACTAAATAATTGCTCAGTCAATATACATATATGTGATAAGAATAACGATTATTAAAATGTTATAAGGGGTAGAGTTGAAGTGGATAAATTACAAAATTATTAAAGATTGTTTTATAAGTGAATTGAAAAATGTTTTAAAAATGTCAAGTGTTGTCTAAAAATTTTATAAAATAAAAGTACGATTACGATAAGAATGAAGATGTGAAGTGAAGTGGAAAGAATTCAAGTGGTAAAATAAAATAAAGTAAAAACTAGAAAGAACATTACTATGACCAAGGTAAAGAAAGGGGTTTGACAAAACGTTTTTGAACACATAATTTAGGTTTCTGTCCATGTATAGCTAAAGCTTCGGCTATGCATAAGTGAAGAAAACGTAAACTTTTGGATCGATTCGATTTTGCCATGTAGATAACTTTGAAAGATGAATCACGTGGGGCTAAATGACCTGACTCTAACAGGTGATCACAGATAGACGACTTCGCAGTTCTACGTTCGCCTTTCATTAACCAGACTGGATAGTGTTCAGCTACACGTTTTCGGAGATTACGCTTACAACGTCCAATATAAACCGCTCCACAAGAGCAGGTAAAAGAGTAAATACACATAGATGTGGACAAAAGTGGTAATCTGTCCTTGACGCATTGTCTGATCATATTTCGGCTGGTAAAAACTAGTTGTAAGTCAGCTGCAGGAAAAGCACGTTTAATACATTTAGATAAACGATTTTTAACCAATTCCGAAATGGTGTCACCTTTGAATGCCAGACTCATAAACAGTTTCTTCTTTGGCACTGTAATTTGTCTGGGGGCGTGTTCTTTCTTGATGTTACGTTCGATAAACCTTGTAGGATAACCATTATTAAGGAGATTTGATCGAAGCTTATTTAGTTCACTATCGATTGTCTCTGCAGAGCAGATTTTACGAATTCTAGAGCATAAGGAATGAATAAGATTTCTCTTTCTCCCTAACGGTACCCAACTGTTGAAGTTAGTGTACTGCCCAGTGAATGTTGGCTTTCGGTAAATCGACCTTAGCAACGTACCATTCTCTCTTCTATCTAGCTTTACATCAAGGAAGTGAAATGAGGAATTCGACTCTTCTTCGATCGTGAAAAGCAAAGATGGGTGAGAACCATTAAATATTCCAAGAAGTTCAGCAGTTGAAGAGTTTTCGTCACATACAATGAAAGTGTCATCTATATATCTTTTATACATAGACAAACTACCGATGGTTTCCTTTAGTGGACCATTCTCTAAGCTAGCCATGAAGACGTCCGCTAAGAGCGGTCCTAAAGGAGAACCCATTGCGACTCCATCCGTTTGATTGTATATGACATCACTAAATCTAAATTGCACATTCAGTGTGCATCTCAATAATAGTTGTTTAAGATCTTCAGTTGGTAACCCAATGTTCATGCTATTTGAATCAATATACTCACATAGATAGCAGATAGTGTCTACTAGTGGTACATTTGTGAGTATATTGATTCAAATAGCATGAACATTGGGTTACCAACTGAAGATCTTAAACAACTATTATTGAGATGCACACTGAATGTGCAATTTAGATTTAGTGATGTCATATACAATCAAACGGATGGAGTCGCAATGGGTTCTCCTTTAGGACCGCTCTTAGCGGACGTCTTCATGGCTAGCTTAGAGAATGGTCCACTAAAGGAAACCATCGGTAGTTTGTCTATGTATAAAAGATATATAGATGACACTTTCATTGTATGTGACGAAAACTCTTCAACTGCTGAACTTCTTGGAATATTTAATGGTTCTCACCCATCTTTGCTTTTCACGATCGAAGAAGAGTCGAATTCCTCATTTCACTTCCTTGATGTAAAGCTAGATAGAAGAGAGAATGGTACGTTGCTAAGGTCGATTTACCGAAAGCCAACATTCACTGGGCAGTACACTAACTTCAACAGTTGGGTACCGTTAGGGAGAAAGAGAAATCTTATTCATTCCTTATGCTCTAGAATTCGTAAAATCTGCTCTGCAGAGACAATCGATAGTGAACTAAATAAGCTTCGATCAAATCTCCTTAATAATGGTTATCCTACAAGGTTTATCGAACGTAACATCAAGAAAGAACACGCCCCCAGACAAATTACAGTGCCAAAGAAGAAACTGTTTATGAGTCTGGCATTCAAAGGTGACACCATTTCGGAATTGGTTAAAAATCGTTTATCTAAATGTATTAAACGTGCTTTTCCTGCAGCTGACTTACAACTAGTTTTTACCAGCCGAAATATGATCAGACAATGCGTCAAGGACAGATTACCACTTTTGTCCACATCTATGTGTATTTACTCTTTTACCTGCTCTTGTGGAGCGGTTTATATTGGACGTTGTAAGCGTAATCTCCGAAAACGTGTAGCTGAACACTATCCAGTCTGGTTAATGAAAGGCGAACGTAGAACTGCGAAGTCGTCTATCTGTGATCACCTGTTAGAGTCAGGTCATTTAGCCCCACGTGATTCATCTTTCAAAGTTATCTAGATGGCAAAATCGAATCGATCCAAAAGTTTACGTTTTCTTCACTTATGCATAGCCGAAGCTTTAGCTATACATGGACAGAAACCTAAATTATGTGTTCAAAAACGTTTTGTCAAACCCCTTTCTTTACCTTGGTCATAGTAATGTTCTTTCTAGTTTTTACTTTATTTTATTTTACCACTTGAATTCTTTCCACTTCACTTCACATCTTCATTCTTATCGTAATCGTACTTTTATTTTATAAAATTTTTAGACAACACTTGACATTGTTAAAACATTTTTCAATTCACTTATAAAACAATCTTTAATAATTTTGTAATTTATCCACTTCAACTCTACCCCTTATAACATTTTAATAATCGTTATTCTTATCACATATATGTATATTGACTGAGCAATTATTTAGTGCCACTTAATGACCTTTTCTGTAATATAAATACGACTGTACAGCTTGAAAATGAAGTCGTTGAAAAGAAATTTCTTCGCTGAACAAAAACTGTGTTTTTATCTCAATAAGACGAACTTACTTTACAAAAGTAAATTTCTACCTTAAGAGTTATTGAATCGAAGTTATCGTTATGTCGAAGTCTTACCATATTTTACCATACAATTTGATACAATTTAGTTAAACAATAGTCTCTCACGAAATACATTTTTATCAGAAACAGACTTAGTAAACAGTATAACATTTAAAAGTCGTTTTAAAAATATAAAACGGAAATCAACTATTTGAAGTCAATCGGTGGATGTTGACTAGCAGTGGAATCCAGGATACGCACTTCGCCCCATTTGGGACTCGTCATCTGGATGTGCCTACATTCCCTACTGGATGATAGTGTTCCCACTGAGGCTCGAACCCAGTGCCCATAGTTTCAAACGCCAAAGCATTTTATCCACTAGACCACGAGAGCTACCTCCTGTTTGACCGGTCTTATTAAATTAATAATTCAGTTGAGACCAAGCACTTCGGTACAATCAATCGACGGGAAAATCTAAATTAAATTAAACAGAAAATAAACTATCCCTATAATCTGCTTGGATCAGGTGCGCTAATGTCGAATTGTTTAATGCTTTTTATTACACCATTGTTTAGCCACATTGGTAGGTGTTCCCGAGCACAAAAAACTAGGGTTCTGGAGCAACAGCCGATATGACTGACACCACAGCAATAGTTGATACAGATACAGCTAAGAGGTGACTAGCCTAGGCACTTCATCTTCCAGTTTCAGAATCACGACCTGGTCTGTAGAAAATATCAGCTGCAATCAATTAACTAGTATTAAAAATTCTTTGAACTTGTTGCTTACTACTTCACTTGATGTGTCAGCTTTAAACTGAAATCGTATGTAGAGTGGTTTTTCGCTCACGATCTTTGTAGTCAAGTGCTTTCTTACTAACTTTTCTGGATAGCTATTCTCAATTAAGGTGTCATTCTGAATCACACCTTCCAGGCACATAGCTCACCCCTAAAAATGAGCCTGTACTGGAGAAGGATGAAGCTATGGAAATGTATGTAATGCCTTTACTCTTGAAACCCTATGTTGAACTAAGTCATACAACAAACTTATACTAGGTTTAGTCAAATCTCTTTCCCGACTTACATCTGCACCATAAACTGACTAACATCGTAAAACACTGAATTATCACCACTAACTCGAGAAGAACATAACAACTTACTCTTTGCCTTCCAGGACGTTTGGTATTTTGTAGATGAAAAAGAACAGTCTGAAGTAAATCAGATAAATTTATCTCTTTCATTTCCATTCCAACTCTTGACTTTAAAAGATCCATAAAACCAATTTCTCCAGGTTCTAAAAAGATAAGTGCTTTACCTTGACCTCCAGCACGAGCAGTACGTCCAACACGGTGTACATAATCTACAGGACCCCCGGTAACATGATACTGTACTACCCAAGCTACTGATGCTAAATCCAAACCTCGGCTAGCAACATCTGTAGTGATTAGAATACCTGCTTGACTTGAAGCAAAGCTTTGGTAGGCTGATTCACGTTCCTTTAAAGAAAAACAATTAGGCGACAAAGAGGAATTAATGCATAGGCACAAAATGGTAGAAAAATTGTCAAGCCTACAAGTGTATAAAGAATCTACATTCATTCTGAGATTCCGTGCACGTTTCACAGAAGAATGAATGCGGTTTTTTCGGTTTTGACATTCATGTTGGAACACCACTATGCAGATCAAGATTTGAAAACCCAATTAACATCATCAGATTCACAGAATAGATCTATCTAATTATCCTTATCAGAAGACAATGTACAAGGGTCTAAACATTATACTACCTATCTAGGTTTAAACAGATGAAACGGAGCTGAGAGTCAGTCAGTACTGGGGAGGTGGGTGTGTATGAACTAATGAAATAATTTCAAATGCATAATATATACACCTCAGCTATGAGTGAGACAGAAGTTCTAGTAAGACCGAATGCTCTCATTTCTTGTAAATATGACTGAATGACGAAATAGTAATTCCCATGCTTTTGTTATACTGAACTCGATGTTTCAAGTTTGATTACGGATGGACATCAGTTGGAAAACCATTGAAAACCAGGAAGTACTGCAAAGCTATTTCGTCCTAGTTTGGGACTCATAGGCAGTACCCGACCACCGACATTCGAACCCAGGACCTTCCGACTACAAGGCATGCTCGTACACCATTCAGTCACTGGGATCCGATCCAATGGCCCATGGATTCTAACTTCTAGTAATTAGTGATTTTAGAACAGCCACTAGCCAATGACATCTGTCAGCATTTGTTCTCAATCCCAACCGGTTGGACCTCACTGGCCACGACTGCTCCACGAAGCTTCATCCTGTAGCCAGCCATTAGCAAGCATCAGATTAATTTTCAAGAGTTCGTTTGTGGCTGAGACAAGATGAGATATTCTATGATTAGTTAACTTATTTATTCCAATGACATCTTTGATATTTATTATCTTATAGTAAACTGTTTAGTGAAAGCGCCAGTTACAAATCAAAACTCCCAACTGAACAACTCACAATACGAAATTACTGAAGAATATTTAATACAAAACCAAGATAAATAAATTTAAGGGTTTTCTATGGACTATATAAACAGTATCCTAATTCAGTTTAGTCAAAGATAGTGATACTATTAAATTCCTTTGGCGACCACTTCACTTATTTGGGGAGTTGCATCAGCTCCATCGGATTGGTCGCTGACGAAATCTCAGCACGCATACAGAAGGCTCATTTGGCATATGCCGGCTTACGCCATCTCTGGCTTAGAAGATGTGATATCCGGCTGTCGACAAAAGGACGTGTGTACTGCTCAGCAGTTTGCTCTGTCCTCCCTTATAGCTGTGAGTGAGACATGGCCATTCAAAGTGAAAGACTTGAAAACCTGGCTAGTTGTTGATAATAGAGGAAAACAAATGGAAGGCGGTAAAATGGACTGGATAAACCGCCTGTCTATACACGGTTCAGGGTTTTCCTTGTGTATATAGCAAGCACCTCTGTTGGGGACAGATGTAGCCGGGACCACCCCTAAGAAAGACTTCACCTTGCCCTATGTTATCACTTTAAAGGTTTTCTCTACTGACGCGGAATAATTTGTAAGACTTTGTTAGTAGGAAATTGTGTTTTCCAGTTGATGAAAGGCTGAACATTATGTTTTGAAACGAATATCAGTATTAAAAGCAGCGAAAAGTCAGTAAAACAATCGCCTTTAGTTATTCATTCCTTCAAAAATATTAATAATAATATTAACAGAAGCCTGAGTCTTTTTCAAAATATTGGATGTTAAGATTTTGGGTTTTCAACTTATTTTGTCACGAAACAACATCAGTTAGAGAATCATTGAGAACCAAAGAGCACTGGACAATTCCTTCGTCTCAGTCACGGATTCTTCAGTGCTGCGAACCCAAATTAGGGATTGAACCCAGGACTTTTAGGTTATGAGGCCACTTACTTGATGAGCCAGTTTACTGAGTCGGAGTTTAATGACCCGCAGATTATAAATTCTGTCGCTTAACAATATCACGCCACCGCTAACAAACGCCAGTGACAAACATCTGTTGCACACCAGAAATAGTGAACCCCATCAGATACGACTTCAAATTAGCACGTCACGACATCCATTCTGTAACCACTAATGAGCAGGAAATTGTTTTGCAAATCTTTTTGGTTTTGTAGAGATTTCAATTATCGTTATTATCAGCGTAGATGATCTCGTGACAAACTGACATCAGTCAGAGAAATCACTGAAATCAATATATTACCTTGACTCTACGGTAAATTTCCTTTATAATTGCTACTCAAATGATACGTAATTATCAACGATCGGCTTCACATGACCCTTGTTTAAAAGTAAGTCTGCCATCCAGAAAAACGGCTAAGACAACGCAAGTGTATTTACCCTACAGGAAATATATTTCTTTCTTAAGACTTACTTTATGTTCCATATTACCATGAAGTCGATGAACCGAAAGATTTACCACAGGTATATTGGAAATAAGTTCTTCAGATTCATCGCATAACACTGCTTTGAACAGATAATAGTGAAAATCAACACAATCTTGTGTTGCCATAAAAACAATGAGCTTCCCACCAACTTTATGATACTAAAAAAAAGTACAGAAGAAAAAAATCATCTTCACATTTTAAATTAGCATCCCCCCGTAGGAATTTTAATATCATACATAAACACATTGTGAGTAAAACACAAGATCTTGTAACGACTGTTGAACTAAACAAGTACTTAGTGGCAATAGTGTTAGTTTGCAGAAATTAGAGAACCATTGAAATCCAAACAGCTCCCTTCGAATTACAGGCTTTTGAGTTTATAAAAATGACAATAGTTTGAACGATTTCGCAAAGAATTCGTAAGAGTAGGCGGTTCGCTACCTTCAGCATTCACTAAATACCTATTTGTGCATGACCGATAATGCTTGTAGTAACAGCTGTTTTTTTTTTCATTCCTTGTGTTCCGAGTCGAGCATAGAGCTGCAAGGTTTTGAAGTCTAACTAACGGTGGTTTCTTCCACACGGTAGGATTTCTATCCTCATATTCAACCTTCTTCTTCCCTCAGCTAGTAAAAAAATGCGAGGTTTAGGCCGGGAATTGAACCCAGACAAGTTGTATGGCTGGTAAGCATTACAATATTGGACCAGGAACACTAGTGACAGTTTCTAAAAGCTATATATTTTCAAGTGTTGGTTTGCAGGGAGTCAACCAGTTATAGGTTTGACCATGAACTGATTTCAGTTGCAGAACCACTGGAAAATCGGGGAGTACTGGGCTGCTGTTTTGCCCTAGTTTGGGACCCTTCATAATTACGCACCTATCGGGGTGCAAACCCAGGACCTTTCCGGTCACGAGGCGAGTTCGCAGATCATTAAGCCACAGGAACCCAATAAAATGGCCCATGAATTCCTGACGATTCGCGATATATAGCACAACCGCCAACTGACGACAACGGCGAACAACTGTTCGTGTAACGAAATGTCCAGTAGAATGTTTATTATTTCCGCTTAAAGAGTGCATAGTTGAATTTCATCAGCAACACTTTTCGTTTATACAAGATCCTTTGTTTTTGGTGTCATATTCAATATGCAATCAAAATAAACAGCATCAACAGTTTGTTCTATATCTACACAATGATGACGGCTTACGTTCACCTTTCACCATGTTTTATGCATACACTCTCATTAAAAACACTTGCCTTGGTTAGCAAATAAACACTTCTCTGCTACAAGAATCTCAAGTTTTGTTGATGCTACTTAAATAAGAGAATGGTAGCTTATTTCTTGCGTAAAAATTTGAATATATATTGGAAAGGAATCTATTAGTTACCAATTATTAAATTTTACATACGAATGCAACTCATTTAACTGGCATAGAGTTTATGTACGAATCTATGAGTCACTTTTAATATGCAAGGGATAATAATACCACTTAGTTACCTAGGTCAAGAAAAGTAGAACAGGCTTTCAGTAGAAAACTCACTGGCTGAACAGCTTAGAATGGAATGTATTATTATTTGTTATTCGACTCAAACACTTAAGATTGGCACATTTCAGTTTATATATATATATATAAACAGAGCTTATTATAGCAATCACTGTGGACCTATTTGGTACGAGATGTAGGTAGTCATGGGATCTCCGCCCCCCCCCCAAACTCTTATGATACATTATTAAAAACAGTGCATCTTGAAAGCGAATACGATTACTTACTTTACATTTGAGTAACAAAAATGCTGCCAGTGAAACAAGTCGCAATTTCCATGGTACAATTAATACAAAATGCTTTAATCCGGCGGGTAAAGCGAATTCAGCTACATTGTCAACAACTTCAGAACTAAGTCCATTTCTTGAACTTGTCAACGCATGCGTTTTAGTATCTGCAGATTTAAATTCACTTTCCCCTACCACACAACGAACAGGATTCTTTAAAGTTAGACCAGCAAGGGCCTCAACTCCTTCAAACAAATAGAAAAACAGATAGTATGTAAATATTATATAGTGCAAAGACATTTCAAATATAAACATATATATATAGACAGAGAGAGATAGGGGTTAGGATTCCTGGCTTTCATTCAGACAACCCCGGTTCGACTCCAGGTGAGATAGCGCATGTGTCCCGGTGGTTCAGCGATGGAATACTCACCAACCACGCACGTACTCCGGGTTCGATCACCGCACAGACACACTCCTATACGCCGCTTAGCCGGTAGTAAGTTCGTTAAACTGGAGAAGTTAGGGGCAGGGCTAGCAACCTCACCCCGTAAAAAGATAACACCACTGCTACTGGAACTTCAAAACTCAATCCAGAAACCTTATGTCCCAACAGGAACGCAAGGGAATAGAAAAAACTAGACGGCCATCTAAAATTTCCCCATCTCTCAACGAGTACACAAATAAAAAGATATTATTTTTAACCTAATCATTCTAAGCTATCAATAAAAGTTATCAGACTTTAAAAATCCATTTATCCTATCAACACTGCTGTGTAGATTTAAGGAAAGGAAAGCGTAGAACTCATCAAGTGTGCCTTGTTACTTAATCAATATTTACTGCGATCCGTAACCATATTTTCAAACGTAGTATAACAAACAAATATGTGGGGCAACAAATTACTAAATTTACCGGGAGATAATGTTGCTGACAAAAGGACAGTTTGCGTTTTATGGTCTGCTTCAAAAGAATCAGGCCGTTGCATTAACTGTTTAACAATCCGTGTGACATCTCGCTCAAATCCCATTTCCAACAGACGATCCGCTTCATCTATTACCAACCATTGTATTCCTTGAAGACTAAGCGTAGTAGTATGCCCAATATGATCCAAAATACGCTTTGGTGTACCGATTACGATGTTAATACCTTTTCTTAGGCTGAAACTCGGAGAGAAAACAAGTTATCAGAAAACAACACACCAACATAAAATGATATAAATGGGATTCACTAAACAGCTACATGCTAGTTAACCAAACCAGCGAGAATTACTGACTCATTGGCGACTAGCAGTAGAATACACGCCTCCTCCGACCTGTGATTCTCAATCTGGGTGTACCTGCTTTTCAGTGATTGACGATGTCTCCAATTGAGGATTGTACCAATAGAATTAGTGTCTGTGGTTATCCGCACGCATTGATATAAGAGAACGGATATCGTGTCTTTTGACGACCATTTCATGCTCACGGATGTGAATACGAAGAGGGCGTCCATTCTGTCCAATCTAATGTTCTTCACAGTTGTTGCAATTTATCTTGTAGATGATGCTAGTTTCATCTTCTTTCACTGTTGTGTCGTTTGGTTGACATAGAGCCGATTGCAGTGATTTTGTTAGTTTGTCAGCGATATAGATTTCAAACAGTTTGAATAATCTTGCAGTGACTTAAGAGATGTTCTTCACACATGGTGGGACAATTTTCTCTGTCCTTTCATTGGATATATTTCATATGATTGGGTTGGATAAAGGGTAGGTGAATTTGACGAAGTTTCGTGGATATCCATCTTTTTTAGAAGACGGCGATAATATATATTTTCCTTCCATTCTCCTCAAGGCAGGAGTGCTGCAATGCGTCCTGGCTCTTTTGAATAATTCTTGTATGCAATTCCTTTTGTGTGATGTTGGGTTGTCGCTGTTGTAGTTGAGTATTCTATCTGTGTGAGTTGATTTTCTGTATACTTAAGTTTCTAATTTTCCTACAGCTGTTCGTTCGACTAAGACATCTAAAAATGGAATCTTGTATCCGGATTCTTCTTCTCTTGTGAGTTTGATGTCGTTGAAGATGTTGTTGATTAGGTTGTGAGCGTTTTCTAAGTCGCTTCATCTGATTATCACGGATGTGTCATCCACATAACCTATCCAAATTTCGAGTTTAATTTTTATTAGGTTTATGTTTTCAAGTCTTTACATAACAGCTCCTGTAGTCAGTCCAGATATGGGCGATCCCATAGGTGTCCCTTCTATTTGTTCACATATTTCGCCATTGAATTGAAAACACGTTGTTAGACATAGGCTTATGCATTCCATCCAACTTGAGTGTTGTATCCACTGTAACTGAGTACTTGTCTCATGGTTTCTTTTGCTAGTTTCTGTCCAACTAAAGTATATAATGCTCACATCCGTGAGCATGAAATTGTCGTTCTCTTATATCAATGCATGCGGACAACCACAGACACCAATTCTATTGGAAGAACGTACAAAACATCATAATACGCAAGATAATTCCTAGAAGCCTAGTATTCAGATGAATCTGCAATCAACAGATACATTGATTGACGTAGAGAAGACTTACCAATCCATGAAAAGGGAGTGGGGTGACATGAACAAAAGGCCAACAACTTTCTGGTCAAGGAAATAATCAATACCAATACAAATGGACTGGGGGGTGGGGACGTACGCATAAGCAACCAGTCACGTTCAAGGTTACCAGGAGGGATGATTGGTAGACTTTTGAGGGATTTTAAAGCTTACTTTTAATTGAAGTACGTGCTGAGAATGTTGCCTATCAAGTCAATGAAAGTTTTTTAATTAAACCGACCGGCTCAGAGGACGTAACTATGGGTAAATCATCCAGGTGTAGTACAAATGCATGGCGTTATACCTGGTAGATGAGGGCTTCGACGTAGGACTTTACACAGAAGTGCAGCAGTTCAGGTTGGTACACTCGATATATCTCATGGAGATAGAGGAGGAAATTCTAAGGAAATGTAGTGAATGAGAATGTGCGGGAAGAGGAATAGTCACACGGTGAGTAATGAGGATTCGATGGATCACAGACATAATAAAGAGTGAACCCTTGTACGCTATTAAAAACGATTTTGAGCCATGTCACTAACCATATCCACTCACTTGATGTTGGCGTCTTGAGGGAGGCTACAACTGTTCACGTTATTCACTGCAGTAGTGAAACTTTTTGGATTCACGTCAGATTTTGATTAGACCACCCCTAACTCTTTTCCAACCTCTAGACGGCTTTTGGAACCTCAGTGTTTGAAGGACCCTTACTTTGGGAATAAGCTAATTGAGAGACTGTCAATAAACACTTACTTGGCCGGCAAAGACTATTCTGTAAGGTTAGTAACTGACACGTGCATTAGTCATGTGAAAGCTCAAGATTTGGTAGTTCATGTACTAAGTAGAAATTTGTGATGTAGATGTACAGAAGCTAAAAATGAATTTAGTATATTTAACTTCTACTTGACTCTCGATGCATATTAAATTAACAGTTATTAGCTAGAATATAGAATTGACATGATCTAAATTTGTATATAGAACTGACTTACTAACATAAACACACCTTGCTTTCTGTGACTTGCGTTTCATCCCTCCGATCAGCAACCCTGGAACAATGCGTACACACGCGTGTGACAGCATTTTGAAGACATCGTATGTTTGTGTTGCTAACTCTCTTGAAGGAAGTATTATTAGTCCCAGCGGCCCATCTTTGCGTTCAACAGGAGGATCTAAGCTCATTAGTCGATTGAACAATGGCACAGCATATGCAAGAGTCTTTCCTGAACCTGTTTGGGCACGCACCAAGACATCATTTCCACTGGCTAAGGGAGGGAGTGCAGCTTCTTGAATGGCGGTCAGGTGATCCAGTTTGAATCGCTCAAGTAAACAAGCAGTTAAATGTGGGAAGATTCCCAGTGATTTACATACATCCTTCCAATGTTTAAGCGAAAAAACTGGTTCTATTTTCGGTTTCACAGGATGACTACAAGAAAGATTACATCAAAATCTGAGGGGTAAAATACGTACTTTGTAACAAGTATATCTAATATCATAGCAGTAACAATTAAACTACTAATAAAGGACGACTCTTTGAGGCCTATTAGAATAAAACACCTAAGACTCTCCCTCCAGTTCTGTTGTGATATTAGTCGTGAACATATTTCCAACAGATATGAGAAAATGGGACCAAAAGAGGGTAGTCACGTTAGTTATAGGAACAGCTAAACATGTATACACTCCCAAATTGACAAAAGTGTGAGAACACAGAGTTTCCTATGATGGTATAATGTGAAAACGCTGAGTTCAGGTATATTTCCTCCGTACGCTAGTTTTGATGTATTGTCTGCACTACTACATTCACGCTGGAACCACTATATGTTAATAAATAGTAAACTAAATCGGAATTCAGAGAAGGAACTGAATGAAGTTGTAAAACACCGCGCAGTTAGCAGGTTAGTGTAACGACAAGCGAGGCACACTAACTTGCTAAGCCAGTTACAAAATTATTAATGTACGGGAAATAAAGCAGATGAGAAACTGAAAGTACGACTTTGACAGGCACAAACAAGAGTCAAATTTCTATTCTGGACAGACATAACTCTGTTGGTATTGCAGCTGTTGTTACTGCGATCCTATTAGGAAAATCACAGCAACATATCATACAATTCCAAACTTTAACAGAAATCGATACCTTATCATACATTTTAAATTCTTTGGTGTTATTCGATTTACCTCATCATTTCATTTAGCACCTTACTGTTTGCTGACATTTTGTTATCGATACCAAACTGCAAGGAATTTTTGCTTCGAATTAACTTTTCCTGAGGATCTGAATCGCTGCACAGTTTGCTTTTGCTAGATTTTTCTGCAGGTTCCCTCTTGGCTTTCGTTTCCAAGGGCGTTTGCACCAAAGTAGTGGCAGATGGTATTGCATGCTTCTTGTAACTGTTCGTTGCTGGAATCTATACGAAATGAGATGAAAGATATTCCGAAACTACTTTTGGACTTTTGCTTTCACTCAGTTTTTGTGGCTTAGCACTACATATATTTAGTATAAAGTCGTCCATCTTCGCTCGGTTACGAAACCAACCAAGTCACGACTTCTGTTTGAAACAGTCGCAACCTTGGACTAGGTTACAACTTTGTGATTGGTGTATTAAAACACCCTCAGCTTCAGCTTTTATTAGCAGGAATTCGTAACCTTAATCTTCGATCTTAGCATCACACATTAACGGCAAATGTGTAGTGCACCCTCCAAGGCACTAAAATAAAGCCATCAAACTAAATAAGCACACTTATAACTTGCTAGAACGAGTGGAGCTAATGCAGCATTTTCACCTGCAAAACAGGGAGGAGCGAACACTGACCAAACACCAGACGCGACACACCAAGGTATATAAGAAAGTAACCAAGCCCAGAAATTACAGACCTAGGAACGTAGATTCAAGGTACAATTTCAGTATTCAATTATTTATGTTCGATCCATCTGCACCGTCCGATAATTGGTCTAATACATTCACTAGGCCCGTATCTACAAAATAAAAGAAAGAAATGCCATTATGTCAAAACTATGAAGCACATATATTAGTTTCACAAGTTTTATATCTGTACCTTCATGGAAGAGTAGGCACTGTCCCAGTGACTGTATGCAGAATCGAATAAGCCAATTCTCCACCTGCTGGAACTTCGGAATCCATCGACAGTGTGTCAGAGTTTGATAGGGTTGAATGATGCATTAGCTTCAAGTAATTATATTGCGTCTCGAGAACTTCTTCTGGCCGCTACATATGTTGTTCAAAATAGGTGATGGGAGAACGTTTGCGGATGGCGTGGTAAGGTCCTTGCCGTTAGAAAACAAGCTTACTGAAATGTCTTTGCGTGAATGTGGTCAGTGCAACCAGATGCAGCCCCCTCCCAATATACATATCTGTAGTCTAGTCGATCCTGACTCATCTTCTGACTATTGTTCGCAGATTTTGTATGTTTGCGCACAATTCTATATTTGGCTGCTTTATTCTCCCAAAGGTATTGAGTGTATTCCACACTCCCTTAGGAGTAAGTGCTGTCCGAACGTCGCACGGTAATCGTAGCTCACAACCGGAAAAATAACAATCCAGAGAAAAGCCTGTCGATGAATGCGCAGAAGCTTCATGTGAGAGCAAACATTGTAGTATAGCTTCGTCCAAGCAATCGCTTGACGTGCTACTTACAAAAGCATGAATTATTGCTTTGTTCGCTGTACTTGTACGCTCTCCTTAGCCATTCCCCTTCGGATGATACATGGCGTCTACCTCCTCAGCTGGGAGCACGAGACAAAAGTGAGCTGCCAACAGACTTTCAAATACCACTGCCTGATTGGAATGTAAGGCCTTTGAAGTTACATACCGCACTACCAATCAATTGGAGAACAATTTCAACTCAGTAATCGCGTCTTGAAGTGGGTCATCGCGTCGAGCTGCTTGGTAAAATATTTGACGATGACCAGAATATATCAGTTACCACTTTTTGTTGCTGGTAACGATCCCATGATATCAATTCCGGCAAGTTAGTGTAGTCCTGTCATTAACATAATGATCGGTATGGTTTGTCAATTTGGTGTGTTTAAATATTCCGCAAGTTTCTCAGATACCCTCGCAATGTTGCAGTAGCCATCAAAACAGTCACCAAAGCTCATCTCCTGCCCCACATGGGCCAGCATATCCAAGTTCTTGATGTGTGTTTGTCACGACATATCAAACGTGACCAGGATACTTTAAGATGAGTTGTTTTGCATTGTACCTCTCAATGAAGGATATAACTAAATGGGCTTAGGTGTCCCCATGTGGTGCAAATATCATACTAATAGTATATTTTTCATACGTGAAAAATAAAATTCACACGAAATGCATGCCATATTTAGAGGCACGATCAAGCACGATTTGAACTGCAGGCTTGAAATATCAGTAGTTTTGTTAGTTGAATTATAATGTAAGCTATCAAACACTTCCATATAAGTGCTGAATTGTTAAGTCATCACGCAGGTAGTCGTCGAGGTCATGTGACATTTGATCAGTCTTCTAAAGGTGATCGTGCTTAACCTACAGCCAACTAATATTCAGGTAAGTGGTAGATCCACGCGTGACTGAAAGCTATCTCAATGACAAGAAATCGTTCTGAGAAACCGATAATTGGTATGAAACACAATTAAGGGTAATATATCATTAAAAGCACACTAACAGAAGCAGCGTTACAGTCCTTAAAATGTTAATGTATACTTGAGATGTTTCATGCTGGCCATATTGGTCTTACTATCGAAACTATGAGGTTTTCGATGAAATTGCTGAATCTAAAGCTGAAGTGGTTAGGCTTCTTTTATCTTAGCTGAATTCTTCTTGAAAGACCACCCCTTAGTATTGAATTTCCTCAATACTTACTCTTCATCTAAACCCACACGAAGTGCAGTGGTCCGAAGTAATGTGAAAGTAGCAGATTTGCATAGATGACTTATGCAGTGCGATTAAGTATATCTCTTTGCTGACGACTGAAATAATATTTTCAACTTTGCTTATTCTAATCTGGAAGGGGGATTCACACCCAATCAACAAGACCCAAACAGGCAGCGTAACCGGAACTGCTCCTGGAAACTGCCACATAAGGCTAAAAAGTTTATAATCGTATGACTTAGTAACTTTCACCCCAAATTTAGGTTAAATTTAGGCGAAACCTTACTCCAAACCTTAAACTCCAAAAGGACTTAGGCACTGATTACTTTCATGCTCACAGAGTATGTACAACCCACTCTTTCTAAATGCAGGAGACTCATGCATCTGCATCACTGAAAACTGTACACCATCGAAGCTAAGGTTCCTTAGTATAAAGTCAAGGTTAGTCCAGCACTTGACTACTGAGCAATTATTTTCGGTTTAGTGATGGGCATGGCAGGATTTTTGTTGAAAATATCAAGTTCACTTCTACACAATGCCTGCTGTGTACCCATGGAAGCGTACGGGGATAGATACATAAAGTACGGGTTTGAGCCATTTCGGTTTAGATATCCAAGGTTCATCTTGATTTTCCATTTCGGTCCCATATACATTAACATAAGAAGTAATTGTCATACGGCATTCAACAATATTCTGCGTGGCCATGCTCATACCCTCTCGTCGACAAGATGTACTATAGGACTGCGTTCAAAGCCAACTGTAATATAATATGACGCATCACGGAACAAAATTATACTGTGTTTGAGTGCAGGCCCCCTACAACTTAGTGTGCTATGGTCACTAAATCCAGTTGGCCATTGGTAAGTTCGGAAGGACAAGACGAGTAAGCAAGTGGGAATCATATCTTTTCTATCACTTGTAAGGCTTTCTTTATCTATTGTATGATGAGTGTTCTTTTGTGTGTTTTACAGGTCACGCTCCACTTGTCCTCGGCCGTGCTTTCGAAAATAAGGGTCTAAAAGCGGAATAGTCCTCCACAGTAGTTCCAGCTGTTTGTTGGTAATTTGGATAATAATACTGATATAAAAGCCATTTTCTGAATTGACAAGCAAGTCACGTTAATTTTCCGCTTTCTATTTTACCACAACTGAATACAATCTATACATTTTTGTTTTCCTGTTTGTTTGTTCGGGTTTTGTTTTCATTGGTACGCGCTTTTTAGTTTGACTGTTGTATTGATTATAATGTCTCTATTGCCAAGCATGGAAACTGATTTTAAAAACTCCACTTCAGCATAGTTGGGTTCTTCAGTAATTAACAAGGTCCGATTACTTGAATTTGGTCTATACGGCCCAGGAATATGATCTAATAAACTAAAAAGCTACCTTGATCGGTATAGCATTAAGTCTGAGACCACCGAGTATACATACATGCGTTTTCGGTTAGCTTATGAGACTAACAGGGAGGTGCGGAAATTTGTATCTCACCTTACAATCAAGCAACCATAAACAGTGTTTAAGGCCGAGGTGATAAAGCGCCTCTCGATCTCTAAACACCAGCACATAAAATGGTTGCTTTAAGGAGGAACATGGGAAACAGTTCTCCACGACAGTTCTTGCGCCACCTGAAGAAGCTCGTAAGGGACAGCATGGTGGGAGAGGCTGTACTGAAACAAGGCTTTGGTGTGAACCCTTCCAGGGTATGTGATAGGATCCCACGCACTTTGTTATTGATCAATTATTTCAACGGCTGTAAATCTTGCATAAATGGTATATCATCATTTCCCACGTACTTTGTTATTGATTATTACGATCAATTATTTCAAATGCTGTTAGCTGTCTTTATTGTTGTAAAAGTGTATAAATACCATGTGTTGATTTCCTAAATAAGTTTCTTTGTCGTAGTTGTTGTACTACAATATACAGTCACAGGCCAGCCTTTGTCTTTTGATATTTGCGTGGTTCACTGAATCGGAAGGTACCACAAGCAGATAGGCATATTAGTCAGGCGCAGACAGAACAAGGCGACAACGTCCTCATTTAATTTCCTACAGTTATAACAGTATGCAGAGCGGGAAATAGACGTACAAGATCCTGACTCCTCTCGTGAACAGTTATTACGCATCGCTGACCAAATATTGGAGAGGCGATGGTAGGTAGGCTAAATGATTATGAGCAAAAACTCAGTAGCCTTAGAATTTGTGGCAGAAGTTGGATCATTATCGAAACAGTGTCACCAATGCAACTAACACAGAACAGACGATGTAGACCGCCAAACAGAGCATGTTCTAGGTCAAAGATTAGACCGTGACACGCATATCTCTCACTCGACTCAAACAAGGAGAGTCAGCATCCAATGTTGTGTGATAAACCCTGATGTCTAATAGCTTTGGGGAATTATTTACCATTACAGCTCACTAACCCTTAGTGGGGTTGTGAGGACCGTGAGACGTAGTCAGTTGGAGGAGAAAAGCTTATGGTGACACAATTGGCGAAAGTATGCTGATGGGTGTGACCGCAATAAGATGCCTACTGGTCGTTTTTCTATTCTGTTGTGGTACATGTACATTGCTTCATTGATACGCGCCTGTTGAATCTCGTTCTCTGTTTGCTTCTTGTCCAAAGCGTGTCGCATCTGGAAAAGAA